CCCCAGCAGGTATAAAAACGCCTCACTCAAATAAATTTTCATGGTAGCAATAAATATCACGAAATAGTAAGATTTTCTCTCTTTTTATCATTGTTATCTAATTAAACATCATGCATCGTAAATATTTTATGCCTATTTCAAATGCGCAATAACGATGACTTGCGAAAATTTAATAAATGAGTGAACAAAGATTACCGACAAGAAAATGCGATGAAATTAAAAGATGTTGAAGGCCCTATCTAATAAAATATTTCCGTGTGACAATAAATGCAATCGTAAAAGCAATTTTGTAACAAAGAGATTGAATATTTTACGCCATTTCTCTCAGTTTCTTTTTAATAGCCTTTAAAACAATAGATTTATATATATGTATAAAGTGGCTGTAATTTAAAAAGCAAGATAATTTTTTATAAAGATAAAATTGACGACATCTTCACACTACTATTAAACATAACTGTAAAATATTTTGATATGAAATTATTTTACATCTTTTCCAGAAATAAAAAGTGAACTTTGAAAACATACTTTAAGATAAAAACATTTATTACGATTACGGTAGAAATAAAAATGTGTAGTTCATTATAAAGAAAACAAACAGTTGTTCACTGACGGAAAAGTTCACATTTTTATTTTGTTTATTTTATTTTACTAATTGCAGATAAATTTATCAAAACACAGATGTACCCAGAGCCGGATTATACCTTTCGTAGGCCCTAGGCATAGCCGTTTTTGGGCCCTCCCCTCCTTCCCCCACTTCTCCCCTCTTTTCAAAACATATGCTAAAATTTTCCTGCATATTTTTTTTTTTACATTTTTATTAATATGGATTTTAATTTACGAATTTGTTTATTGAACTTTATCTGCAATACCGACATACTGCCGATATTGCAGTTGATATCGATAATACCATTATGATTAGTTCGATCGATAACTATGTAAACACTTCACGTCAACAATACAACAACAAACCAGCAAAGAAAACAGTGAAATTGATAGTGAGATTAATTACAAGAAATATTTATACAGTAGAGAACCAATTATCTGGGATGCTCGGGACCATCGCTATCCCGGATGTCTGAATTTCCCAGTTTTCTGGATCGACCAAAAAGTGTCATTAATCGATGTTTTATCGAACCCGAATTACAAGGAAATTACACAAAAATTTGTCAGAATCTGAGATTAAACTAAAAGCGCAAAATTTGGTGAAAATTTACTCATCCGATTTAGAGAAAAACTTTGTAGATGAATTTTTACTATTTTCAAATTTATATGAACATAAATCTGCACAAGAAATGTTGAAGGCTCAAATTAAAGATAAACTTGTGAATACTTTTCCTAACGTTCACATTGCATTAAGAATATATTTGTCGATTCTTGGATCAAATGCAGAAGGAGAAAGATCTTTCTCCAGATTAAAATTGATAAAAAATTATTTGCGTTCAACAATGAATCAAGATCGTTTGGCATCGCTCGCACTTATGTCTATTGAATACGACATTTTGCGTAGTTTGGAATTCGACAGCATAATACAAGATTTCGTTGAATCCAAAAATCGCAAAAAAGTAATATATTAGATCATAAGATTCTGCAAAATAATTTATTACCGAAAAATATTATATTTTTATTTGTATCTTCATAATTTTGTGCAAAATACACTTGTTGTTTTTAAAGCTAAATTATTTTTGTCAACAAATTTTTTTCTCCCAAGTTTTTCGTAGGCCCCTGAATTTCGTAGGCCCTAGGCACGTGCCTAGTGTGCCTATAGGTTAATCCGGACCTGGATGTACCAAATGATACAAAAATGCATGTAACGGCTGAATTATAATTGAAATAAAATTAAATCAGTTACATAAAACTAGAAGCTTTTATGTGGTACAACGACAGGCTATTGACATCGAAATAAAAAATAATGGCACAGATATAAAAAATAATGGCACAGATGTAAAAAATAATGGCACAGTTATGAAAAAGAGATAGTATATTGAATAGTTAAACTTTTCAACTGAGGCTAAATTTTTAATTTTTGAACTAATGAAAAATTTAATTAAAATTTTTGTCATGTATAGAGAGTTTTATTATTTTTCGTCGTTATCACAGTTTTATTTTGCGTCAATATTTTTTCATACTTCTTGTCTCATTGCTAAAAAAGCGAAAGTTTCTTGTTATCAATTTTTATATTTTTAAATATTCTTTATACCCTTGAAATGTAATGAATTGCTAACCACATTGTCGTCAGTCTAGAAACTGTAGAACTTTATTATCCATAACCCCTTAATCGATAGAAAACTGATGAAGAAGTAATTATTATTTTTTTAACATAATGTCAAAACGCTGTTTCAGAACTTCTGAAAATGCTCAATAAAGTTTTGTAACCACCAAGAATAAAAAGAGAAACATAAAAACTTCTTTCTTGTATTATAATTAATGCTTCTTATTTTAATGTTTCATCTTATTCATTAATTAAATTAGTATTAAAAATATTATTTTCAAAAGGAAGACAAATATCATTATTTAATTCTTTAATCATTTTTAAACAAATATTGTGAAAAAATATAATTTTGACTACTTTAGTTTTGTATGGATTATTTAAAATGGGAAAAATGATTTCGAAGTAGAATAACTCGCGTACTTCGCCGAGAAGAAGTAATAAATTTTGGACATAAAATCATATGACTCAACAACTGAGTTATTATAATTTGATTCAGGACATGCATGGATATTTTTTATGTCGTATTTACAGAGCTGTTTCACCGATTTAACAGAGCTCATTTATTAATTCTAATCAGACTTCGGATAAAAAAAAAGTCAGCAATGAATAACTCTATCAAAAATAAATGTTTACTTATATTATTTTTATTTTTTTTAATGGAATATAAAGATTATGTTTATTTTTAATTATTATACTTATTTGTTCTTTGATCAATTAATGCGAAAATGATAAAATAATTTTAATCGAGATTCAGGGGAATCTGATTGAAAAACTTTATTTCATTCATTCAATATTTTATCATCTCATTTTTTTAAAAAATCGGATTTTTTCTAGTTTAATAGATACATATTTTCCCATAACTTTTAAAAAAAAAAAAGCAATATTAGAGATCTAATTTTATAACTAAATATTAAGATGGTATAAATTGCAGAAATTAGTAACTAAAAGATTAAAAAAAGAATAAAAGAAATATTTTTATAGCATAGTTGTTTTTCTTAAAGTTTTTAAAGCTTAAACATTTGTTAAAATGTAATTACAACATATTAAACGGTACTCGTAATAAATCAAAACGTATGGTGTGTTTCTGCTTTAGGTACTCTTCCGAACAGATTTTTCCTCGCATCTTCTTCGAGAAAAGTAATTTATTAAATGCTTTCTGCTGCAATGAACATACACGTTCTTTCAAGATGATAAATTTATGATGAAAAATCTGAATAACTAAACACTTAGAGAATTTGAGAAATATGCACCATTTATACAGGAAATAAAATTTTTAGGTTCACAAAATCGAATTGATTTCACCTATTTCACCTTTAATCTTCATCAACATGCATGGTAACGTTATTATTACTTTCGAAAAGTAACGAGAAAGGAAGTACGAGTTTTAAAAAGTAACGAATAAAGTAATCAGAAATAAAAGTAACAAAACGTAAAAAGTAACGATTTTTTCCGGAATATTCAAAGAAGATTGAAAATGAAACATAAAAACATACGGACAAAGAATAAATTATTATTTGGTTATATGTATAAAAAAAATTAGTATAATAAAGCTTTCTCGCTGATTTTGCAAATTAATTTATTTCAAAAGCTGCTTTCGAAGTAAACGGTGGGAAATTGCTGCGTAAGTTATAAATAGTGTTAGCTTTTATTTTAAAATACTTATAGTTAAAGTTTAAAAAAAATTGTGTAAATTATTTAATTTTTAAAATTATTGAAAAAAATTTATAATAAAATCTGGAAAAAAAGTTTAGAACTATTTCTCTTAAAATTTTTGTTACAAATACTTATTCCCTACGACAAGTAGACGTACTAAAGTTCAAAGGACAAGTAAAAGTACTAAATCTCACAAGTAGTATAGTACAAGTATACACACTTTTTACTTTAGTTATTTAAAACGAAAATACAAGCATTAACAAGTATGCTAATGTTGATAAACTCTTTGTTATCTTTCATGTATTCATTAAAAAATCATTAAAATCTATCAATCATCAAAACTAGCTTAATCACCGAATGAAATTGGTAGGCGTTTTTACTAACTTAAATATTGAATAAAATGGTGAGGCATCAGTTGATCACTTCTAGATTTAAAGTTTCAATACAAGTTTTTATTTGTTTATATCTAATTTCAGGATCAGAATTCGTTATTTATTTATATCTGGTTTACGTTAGTGAATATTTGTGAAGGTAATATTTCTTATAGATGGCGCTCTGCCCAGTGTTGTACTGATTAGTTCAGATTAGACTATGATATTATAAAATTATAAAATTAATATATTATAAAATTAATATTCAATTTTCTTGTTATTAAATATTTCCTGATTTTGAAAAAACTAACTAATCCAGCTCGTAAAGAATAAAGACTCTTTTTGGGAAATAAAGGACTGCACAAAAGAACAAAATTAATAATTGGACCCCCGAGAATATCATATTTTACAATTTGTTTGAGACCTCCTCCCGTGCGTCAAACACCCCAGATGTCCAGCCTAAAAAACTATCCGATTGGCACAAAGAAAATTAAAACTTTTAAAGGTAATTTCTTATGGAAATTGATTTTTAAAAGGTTATTATTAAACTCAAGCGAAATTTTCAGAATATAATGCTCAAGCAAATTTATTAAGTTTTTAATCTTACATTTAAACATTTAAAAAAAGATTAAGAATTTCTGTTTGAAATTATTTCTTCCCTTGGAATAATTTTTGCCAGCATTTATATCGAAAATTGTTTTGTTATGACAGATTTTAATAAAAATACATTTACAAAAAAGAAAAAAAAAACTATGTATTGAACTTACCATTTTCGTTTCTAGTATATGCTACAATATCGTATGGTATTTTCTTCTCTTCCGATTTGGCGCTGTTTAATTGTACTTTTTCATTCATTATTCTTCTCCTACTCAGCAAAAAGAAAGAGAACGCAAATATTAGTTATTCTCCTATCAGAGTCCCATGTATGTTTTACTAGTTCTGTCAAATAGATAAGTCGAAATAACGCATGTTTTGTGTCTGTCAAGGGCACATGCGCAAGCTATTTGTTCTTCGTTTTAACCTGAAATAGTGATAAATGTAGAATATTTTTTACGTAGTATATTTACATTTTTGCAAGAATAGTTGCATAATGATCCGATTTACATTCCTATTTCAGATACATTTGATTTAATAAATTTATCACAAGAAGAATAATTTTTGTTTTTCTTAATAGATAAAGAGATAATAGCTCTTTTATATGTGAGTTGTTTTTAATGACAAAATGCATTAAAAATAACAATGTAGTAATAATGTATTATAACTAATATATAATATGAATAATTATTTAATATGAATGATTAGATAATTATGCATAATTTTAAAAATTATTTTGCAATTATATTTTTAAAAGAAAATGCGAATATTTTTGAAAATAAGTGTAGAATATTTTTTACCTAGTACATTTAAATTTTTGTAAATAGTTACATAATATTCCAATTTACATTCCTATTTCAGATATCTTTGATTTAATAAATTTATCACAAGAAGAAGAATTTTTGTTTTTCGTTAACAGATTAGGATTTCGCTCCTTTATATGTGAGTTGTTTTTAATGACAAAATATATTAAGGATAACAATGTAGTAATAATGTACTATAATTTAATATATAAAAAGAATAATTATTTAATATGAATAATTATATAATAACGTATAATTACAAAAATTATTTTGAAATTGCAGTTTTAATCATTATCAAATATATTAATATAAGTATTTAATAATATAATTATTGTACTAATAGGTTTTTTGGCCCCCGAAAGAAATATATGTACAGTAAGAAAAAAAAAGGATTACCCTGAATAACTTTTGATCTAATGATCGGATATTAACGTTCTAGGACTCAATCCTAATGGCTCAAGGGGGTGACCTCAAATATGCTGATTAATAAACGCAGACGATATTTTAATTTTCTAAATCAGAAATAAAAGCGTACTTTATCTGAATAAATATACCTTTTTTTCGATGGATTTGGATTTCTGACTCCCAAAATATAGGGGGTAGCTGCAATCTAGGAAATATGGTTCCAATAGTTTGGTCAGGACAGGGCTCCAAAATTTGGATCCCTGAATGTTTTTACTTTTTGCGTATTTTGCTATATCTCGATCATTTTTTAACTGAATTGAAAAAATTTGGCACACAATTGTAAAATTCGTTTATACAAAGATAAATCCATGCAAAAAATAACTTTGAAAAATATTTATTATTTTTTTATTTAAGAATGGCAGAAAAAATTTTGAATTGTAAGGTGTATAATTTTTCGTATCATTTTAAAGAATGTAATTTCACATAAAAAATACAAAATATGAACAAAATCGGTTGAATAACTCATGAGAAATTGAATTTCAAAAATTTCGGATATTTAAAATTCGATTTCTCAAAAAATATTCAACTGGTTTTGACCCTCTACCCCCTATAATTTAAGGGTTAGAAATCCGAATCCGTCGAAAAAAAGGTATGTTTATTCAGAAAATATGTTCAGTTTTGCTCATATCAGAGAGTGAGTATGTTCATATTTGTGTCTGATTTAGTAATTTAAAATATCATCTGCACTTATTAATTAGTATATTTGAGGCCACCCCATCGAGCCATTAAGATCGTCTCCTGGAACGTGAAGATCCGATCATTAGATCAAAAAATATTCTCGGTGGTACGTTTTTTTTCTTTTTTTTTTGCGCACTGTACAGGGAAAAATTGATTAACTGTGGCAAATTTTGACTATCACGAATTAGCCAAATCATTATAAAAAATGCCCAAATAACGCTGTTATAGTTAATTTCAATTTGATGAAATGTATGTCTAAAATAAATCAGAGCTAATAATTTCTCAACTAACTTAAAGCTACCTGAAAGAACAAAAAAAAAATTAATAATAAATTTTAAAAAAGGAAATTATTTTAATTTTTGTGAAATTTTTTTCGCTATATACCTTTCAGTTTTGTGCTTAATTTCGTTGTAATGATTAATACCGATTTATTGAATACTTACTTTTTTCCCTTATGCGAAAAATTCGTATATCAATAGCTGATTAGTTTATTATAACATTTCTAAGACGCTATTTATTGGCGTTTTGGAAAGTGGTAAAATCAGTAATGATGTCTTAGAAAATTTGCTTACTTGAGATTCCTAATGATTATTAATAACACAGCAAAATTTTATCTATGATTTTTATATTCTCATTTCTAATTAGTTGGGTTTGCATTACTTCATCAAATATTTATTACGAAATTACTTGATTCACTAAAACCTAATGACTTTATTTTCTAGTTAACGAAACGTTTTTTCTTTTTACATATACATTGATTTTTTTATTCCTCCTTTTTTCCTAGTTTGTTTCGTCATTTAAACATGATTCAATATATCATTAAGAGATAATAGCCTACAATCGTGTCCAAATAATGTAGGTGCATTCTTATTAGCTGAAAAAATTATGTGAAATGATCCTCAATTAACAAAGATGCTATCATTTAGCTATCATCAGCTTAAAATTAATTAATTTTATATCAGTATTTATCACCTGTTTTTTAATTAACCTAATTTTTTTCTCCACTTTGATTATGGCTATATTTAACATACATTTGAAGTTACAATTTGTGAAGAAACAAATATATTATATTTGTTTAGTTTATATTTAACTTCTTATTTATACTTTTTATAAAGGTAGCAATCGTGAAAACATATGTAGTGTTAATCAACTAGTATCAAGGGGGTTTCTTTTATGCTACATTTTACATATGTAAAATAAGTAAATGAAATTTAAAAAAAACTGTTCCAATCACCATACGCTACAGTAATGTTTACAAAATAAGTATTTAAAATTACAAAAAAATCTTAGGAATTAATTTTTTACGCATAGTTAATAATAGAGATGTCTAAGCTAACGTCACGTTACTTGTCTGTCCCATGGTAATCCATCAATGATCAATAAGTTACATGATAGCAACGAATAGGAGTACGTTTCTATTGGGATGTGAATATGAGTCGTCCAATAGGAATGGTGCAAAAGATAATTGATTAATTTATTCCACTCAGTGATATAGTTCAGCTTTTGGCTTGGACATCTCTACAAACACACATTTATAAAAACAATAAGAAAATTTTAAGCGTTTTTAAAGTAAGAAATAATTAAATAAGCATTTTTAAAATTTTGTTTGGATAATGAGGTTGAAATGGTAGCTGAGTACTAATTAATTAATTTCATATTTTGTCTAAATAAAATTCAGAACTAAAAAAGTAGAACGTAATCTGTGTTAATGCAATTAAAAATGTTGGTATATTTTAATTTAATAGCATTTAATTTAGATACTACATTCTACAAATCATCATTTCATAGTTTGTAGTCGCTATATTTAAAAAAAAAAGTAGTTTTAGCTAATTACATTTGTAACAAAGTAGTTTCAGTTAACATCAAAAATAATGTAGTTTTTCCAATCATTGTAAAATATTTTTACGATGTTTATATAATTTTAAAGGCTATTTTTAAATAAAATAACAAATAATTATTTAAGTTTATAATTTATATCGAATTATCCTTGGATTAACGAAATTTACACTTGAGTGAATTTTTTTTTCTTCGAGTAGTTTAAAAAGAACAGTGATTAAATTTCAACCAGTGTATAAAATATATGCTAAAAGTTTTAGTCCTTGTCTTTTTCACCATGGAGAAAAAAAAAGAAGAACAACTCTTTTTAAGTACCTTGGTCTTGAAGCTTTTTAAGGACAAAATATGAGCTAGAAGTTTTAGTCTGTGACTTTTTCACAATGGAAAAAAAAGAAGAAAAGCTCTTTTTAAGTACCTTGGTCTTGAAGCTTTTCAAGGATAAGATATGTGCTAGAAGTTTTAATCTGTGACTTTTTCGCCATGGAAAAACAAGAAGAAAAAGAAAGAAAGAAAAACTCTTTTTAAGTGACTTGGTCTTAAAACCAAAACTATAATTTTGAACTAAGTTTATTTTCTTTCCGTAATAAAGTAACTGGGCATTAAAACCAACAAATAGCTTACATATTTAACAAAAATAAATTTTTCCACCTAAATGAAAATCGTTCAAATCAATGAATAAATTAAAACTAACGCAAAATTTATGAAATCACAAACACTTTTCACTGTCATAAAATTGTGCCTTTTCTTCATATTGATATTTGTCCCCTTTTCATAATTGAAACAGAAGGCGCCATTCGATGACAGGCAAAATTCTTACGAATTCACAATATAAAATTAGCATATTATTCACTTAAAAGCTTATTTCATGTGAACCGCTTACAACTATGAACGAACTCTGAAACTAACGTTTTCTGTTATTTCTATCAAAAAAGAAAATAATTTTTTTAAAAAAACTTATTAAAAAAAAGAATTAATTTAAGAACTAATTTTAAAGAATAAAACTTTTTCTTAAAATTAATTTTAGCAAAGCGGACAGTTCAAATGTGTTCTTAAATTTTATTATACAGGGTGTTTATAAAGTCCCGGACCCATTTTAATGCTTAATAACTCATTAAATAATAAAGATATATTAAAATTAATAACATAAATGGTTAGATAGACTCAAAAAGTTTCATGACCTTTGTCAATGAACTTCCACGTGTGCTCCCTTCGTCGCACGGAGAATATCAAGTCGATAGTCAATTTCACGCCAGGTAGCGGCAAGCATGTCGACACCACATAGGCTATTGCGGTTGTAATTCTGGCTTTTAGGTCATCAATGTTCGACACGATCCTCCTGTAAACATTGTCCTTTATAAATCCCCAAAGAAAAATGCCCAGTGGCGTTATATCAGGTGATCTGGGTGGCCAAGGAATTGGACCTCCTCGCCCAATCCATCTTCCTGGAAAATGGTCATTCAAAGAACTACGAACGATGATACCCCAATGAGGTGGTGACCATGTTGTTGCAAAAAGACATGTGGCTGAAGCTCTTCTATTTGTGGAAATACGAAGTTTTCCAACATGTCTAAGTATACGACTGATGAGACCGTCTCTTTTGTAAAAAAGAAAGGCCCAAATGGCTCGGTCGTGCATTAGTCTATACCACACATAACCTTTGGGGAATCCCTTTGTGTCTCACGGTATTCATGGGGGTTTTCAGATCCCCATATGTGCACATTATGGCGATTAACAATGCCAGAAACATGAAAGGATGCTTCGTCGGAGAACATTATGCGCTTCGGAAAATCAGCTTCATCTTCTATCCTTCCTACCATATCTGTTGCAAACGCCATCCTCCTAGGCGTATCATCCGGTTCCAAACCTTGAACAATTTGAACTTTGTATGCATGCAGTCTTAATTGTTTCTTAAAAACCTTGTACACCGTCGAAATTGGCATATCCAATTCTCTTGCCGCTGATCTCACAGATCTTCTAGGATTGTCTAAAAATGTCTGTCTGACACGCTCAACGTCAAAATCACTTGTGCAGGGACGTCCGGAACGTTTCTTATCTGCGATACTTCCAGTTTCTAGAAAATTCTTTTTCCACCGCAAGATGCTGCTTTTGGATGGAGGATCTTTTTGGTAAATTCTTCTGCAATTTCTCTGTGCTTGCACTATCGATTTCGTTTCTATGAACCACCATAAAATCTGTGCTTTCTCTTATGGTGTATGCATTCTCCTTAACATCCCATAGAAAAGTACTACATAGAACAAACACATCAAAAATAAACATAACATTGCAATAGTTGCCAAAAACAAAAGAGAGAAAAATGCAATTAATAAGCAGACGATATTTAGAAATGTACAGATATTTAGACTGGAAAATGAAATTATCTGAAATTAACCACACGCACAGACGATATTTATAAAAGTAAAGATATTCAAACCTGAAAAAGAAAATATATGAGTTATTCCATCAATAAATGCCATAAGTTTGTTTATATCTTCATTATTTTATGAGTTATTAAACATCAAAATGGGTCCTGGAATTTATAAACAACCTGTATATATATGTATTTTCCAACTAATATTGTTTACTTTTTTTAAACTATGAATTCAAAACAAATTAATTTAAATGATATAATATAAATGTACATTTATTAATGATATTCATTAATACAATAATATTTGTAAAATCATAATTTGAAGGTGACTAGAAATAAAAACAAAAAAAAATTTACCTTCTGGCCCAGCATGATGAAACCTGTCATAAAATTCAAATCTTTTTAAAGCAAATAGNCATAGATTTGATTGCTGATCTAAATCGAAATATGAGGGTTGTTTTTTTAAGTAAGGGCTGTCCGAAAACAAAAATCAAAAGAAAGAAAATTTTGGAAAAGCAAATTTATTTTCAGATTCTACATACATTTCTCTCTTTTTTAACATAGTTGTCAGGTTTGTTTAAACACTTATTATATGTAACAACTAGATTTAAAATACCCTCTACATACAAACTTGTCATCTGCTCTGTTAACCAAGCGGTCACGGCCATTTTCACGTATTCGTCATCGCTGTAGTGGTTGCCTCCAAATTGAATGTTTGAAATATCGGAAAAGATGAAAATCACTCAGCGCAAGGTCTGGGCTGTAGGGATGGGTGGTCCAAAACTTTCCGATCAAAAGAGTACTACAAAGATGGGTTCTGAGCTACGGAGAGAGTCATTATCATAGAGTAGCAAAATTCCTTGTTAGCATGGCAGGGAATTTCGCTACTTCATAAATCTGCCAGTGAATGCATGCAGCAGACAGGTTTTTTGCCGATTAAAAACGCATTACTGACATGCGTGGCGGATGATTTGTTAAATTCGAACATTTATCCGAATACGTTCTCACAACAAATTATACCTCTGAGGATACTGAATTGGAGATTGATCGTTCTCTGGTTTAGGTCAAAATTACGATCTGTGTATGAATTAATAGGTCTGCCCTATAAAAGGGTGTGACATATTGTCTACTTCTTAGCCACAGATAACAACACTGGAAAACAAGAACAATCGTACCCCTTGCCTTAATATCCTACGACAACAATAGATAAGCTTATTTATGTAAATTCAGATATAAGTTAGGGTTTTCTTATAGATTTGGGGTGTCCAAAACTTTAAATTTCATACAGTTATTCTTTTATTGCAACTTTAAATTAACTTAATATTTTTTAATTAAATATACAATATTAGCTTTATATTTCGTCTTTAAAAAGTTCAAAATTTACATTTTTGACCTAAATCGATGAATTTTAAAAACATTCTGAGAAATTCAGACTAGTTTCGATTAAAGTGGAATTTTGGAAAATAGGTGACTTCAAAGCCAACTAGCATCAGAAGTATGATAAATCATAAATATATACAGTCCATGTTTACGGTGTATATATTAAACAAATTCTATATAGGTGTATAATATTATGCATAAATTTATTATTAAATAAAAAAAGCAACACTCAGGTAAAGATATTAAATTAAAAATTATACAAAATTAAAATTTTACACTTCATTATAAAATTAAACACTTGGAATCAATTTTCGAGTTTTTGGTTGATTTAGAATTAGTTCTTATTACCTTTACCTTTTAATATCATCTTACATTTGAATCACTAACACTTATAGCTCACATTTCAGATTTAAGTTTATGCATTGCTTTTTTTTACTCCTTGTATTCATCGAATCGTTTTTGTTTTGTATTGTTTTTAAAACTTCTTAAGGAGTAGAAAGAAATTGCTGTAGATTAGTTACAAACGATGACATTTTATCACATTTGGTAGTTAAGGGAGAAAAAAGGACTTTCGTTAATCAGATTATTACAAAAATTCTCAAGAACAGTAATTTTTATTGCTAAATTGTGAGACTAAATTCTTGACTATGGAATCGTAACAGTCGGCACCTTTTTGTTGGCTTGAAATTTTGAATTTCGAAAAAAAAATATTTTTAATTATACATCCTAATTTCTTAAGCCCTAAAGTGATGAAATCATAGAGTTAGAACATATAGCAAAATATTATATTTTTAGTTTAAAGATAATAAGCTCCATTTTCACCAATTTGAACAAGATAACTGTAACTGTTCAATAATATTCATGCTTTCAGTATAAATATAGCTAGCAAAATTGATAAAAAAATCATTTAAAATTTTATTTTCAATATCACATGACATTGTAATAACTAGTAGATTGAATACATAATAATTAGAGGAATTTATAAAATTATTTATCGTAATTATTAATACCTACAACAAGTACAAAATATGGCAAACACAGAGTTTAAGTCACATATATTAGCAAATAAAATTGAAAGTTACACCATTTTTCAATTTTTGCAAGCATTTGTTTTTCAGTATATAACCTTTAAAATCATTTTTTAAATTTCACCCTAAAAACACTTATATTTACACCAAAACTAAAAAATGCAAGAGCAGACAAATTTTGCAAAGGCAATAACAAAATTCCCAGAACATTGCAATCAATACTGATCTTTATCTTGTTTATAAATGTTATAAGTTTATATTGACCAAATAGCATTCCCAAAACAAAAATTTATATAATCATTCCTAAAACAAATAGTTCATATTTATAGAATTTCCTCAATTTGTTATTTTTAAAAAAATAAAAATAAATGCCTATTTAAAGATAACCTTCAAAACCTGTTTTGAGAAATTTTGATTTACAAAATATGTTTATTAATTAACAAGCACAAAAAGAACTTTTTCAATTAAATAGACCTAAATTTGTAATCTAACATACACAATAACAGTGTTGTAAAATTAGTCATACATAATGAGAAATAGCAGATACCTCACAGACACATTACTGTGATACGTCACAGACACGGCCTTTCACGTTTACCTAAAAAAGATTAATAATTTTGCCACTGTAAAACAATGAGGAATGTAATATATGTACAAAAATTATCCTATTCATAACCATATTTCTTTAATTGCATTTATTACTCACACTTTGCATATTAATTTTTTAAATTTTAATAAGTTGTAAAACATAAGCATAACAATCTACTTCATGAAAATTTTAGAATATTCATTCCATAGAATATTAACTAAAATATTAGCCAGTGTATAAGTTGACCCAATATTTTTAAATACAAGTTAACCTATTTCTAGTCTCTGGTGTATAATGACGACCAATGGTAAATATGAAAATTTCCAATATTAATAAATTTGAAAAATGTGGATTTAAATACTATTGATAAATCTTTTAACAAGTGCAGAATTTCAAAGTCTTTGGATGGGGGTGAAGATTATTTTCTGTAAAAATCAGCAGATGATGATGACATAGTTTCCATTGCAGAGTGGGATTCGCATAAAAACAATGCTCTGCTAGCGCTACAGAAGTTTTGAAATCTTTAAATTTGTAGCTGTATGGGACGTTAAAAAGTTTTTATTGTGTTATATTTATGAAATACTCTTGAAAAAATTATCTTAACTATTCTTTTTTTCTTAAATTTTTTTAACATAATAAAAATTGTTTTTAAAAAAAACTCTTTATATATGAAAATAAAATATGAGTGAAAATGCAAATTAACTAACCATAACATATTAAAAATATTTTTTTAAAGCGGTAAATTGATACAGTTATTCATATCTATTTCATTGTTTATAATGCATATAACGTTAACAATTAACAAATGTCAGGCTCTATTGCAGGAGTATAATACAAGTAGACTTCCTGATTTTTATAAAATTTTGTGAGTTTGAAAAGTAATGTCACTAGATATACAATTTGTGTTTTGGAAAGAATGAACCTTCTTTCATCAGGCAGTTAAAAATTTATTTTTAAACTTCCTAATTAAGGATGGCTTGTTCATTCTAAAATTTCCTTCATTCTTAAATTAAGAGACATACATTGGCCACACTGCACATTTAACGGAGTTATATTAAAAACAGCTAGGTGACATACATAAAGATATGTTGAGCTTAATGTAATTCAGTAACTAAAAGCTAAATGTTTATAAACTTTGCCTTTTTATTAACTAGGCATTTATAAAATGCAAAAACAGTAAGGAAATGTAATTGAATAAAGAATGATCAAGTATTAATTCCTTAAAAAAATTTTAACAGAAAAGGTTTTTTTAAAAGTTTATTATTTAAATGCTACATCTAAAAATCACAGTCACCATGAATCCATATTTTATTTTTGAAAAAATTATACAATATTGTGAATGAACATTATGATGAGGCACATAAAAGTTGAAATTTAAAAGTAAAAACACTTTGAGACAAAGATAATTATACACAAACAAAATATATACAATAATACTTAATAGATAGTTATATACATAGTTGTGCATGGGTAGAACTCTAAATATATTTTTACAAATAATGTATTATCAAACTATTTTGTAAACTAAGAGTTATAGTTTTATAAAACTTAAATGCATTTAAATAAGAAGAAAAAAAATTGCTTTGTCTTATAAAAACAATAGTTATCTCAAAGAATTCTAATATGTATGTTTTGAAATAAATCAGCTGATTATCTCCTAAAGCTTTGATTGAACTTGATAATCTATAAAAGAAATGCATTCAATGAATTTGGCAAATACTTGATTATAAACAGTCAGACTAAACGTTTTTTCTTTTTTTAAATGCGTTATGAACTTAAAATAGGCATAGATTTCATAGTAGCTAAGCGTGTCATTTTAGTCTTGAAATATTCAGGCTTAACACTAATTAAAGCTTCTTCTGGAATATAAGTCAGATTCCTGTAAGAAAATGAAGGAAGAGTTTAAACAAAATAAAAGTTTGCATATATTATTGTACATATCATTAAAGGTATTGCTGATATAAACAAGAATGCAGAATAATTTTTTTTTCTCTTTGTACCAAAATACTAATAAGATATTAGGTATTTTTAGCATAACATACTGTATATTTCAGTGCATATAAGTCAACTTTTCAAACCTCCAATCAAATTATATACTAGTAATAAAGTAAATACTAGAATACTGGTAATATATACTAGATACAAATTATATACTAAAATAATAGTAATAACTATTTTTAATATGTTGTATACTATTAATTTACTATTATTATATGCAGGGGTCTGTCTAGGTTTTTCTGAGAGGTACCTACTTTGTGAAAATTAAAAAATCAACCCAAAAAAATCGTAAAAATATGGATTTATCGTTTCTTACGAGACACAAAAATAAAATTTTAAGAAAATGTATTTTGTGAAGTATTTTGTTTGAAATTGTGAAGGTGCCGCTAAACGATAGTAAATTTGGCTTGGACAGATCCCTGATATGGTATATATTCCAGAAGTATATTAATAATATGTCATGTACTATTAATATTCTTCTGAAATCTGTGTCAGATTCCCTTAACAAAACAAAGCAAGAGTTCAAACATAATAAAAGTTTGTATAAATTATTGAACATAGATAATGCCAAAATAAACAAGAATGCAGTTTTGTTTTCTTCATTAATTAGTTTCTCTTGGAGGTTTACTCCACCTAACATGGCAAAAATTTGCTACATTGTGATTCAAAATGGAGAGTTGACTTGAAAACCAGTATATAAGTAAGTAATAAGTATTATTATAACTATTCTCGAATCAGGTTCACAGAGTACAAGTGTTAATTAGGTAGTTAGTATTAGATATTACAATAGGCATTTAATAAAGTTAGTTCAGGGTGTGTAGCCAAATTATTCAACAAAAAATAAGCACCTTTTAAGCTCTTTTCAAGCATTTAAAAATATTTTTAAGCACTTTAAAAAAAATCATAATTAGGCTGGGTTGGGAAGTTTTTGACAATTGACAGTTTTATGTTGTTTCAACCATCATGTCAATATATATATATATATATATATACCTTTTGGCAATTGTCAAATTTTTAAACACTATGTGCCGAAAATACCCCGAAATAGATTGGGGTTGAATGTGAGCTGTGTCTTTTTGCATAATTCGTAGTGAAAACCAACAAAGTAAAGGAAAAAATCTCATTTTGAGAAAGGGTAAATTAAGCACTTTTTTAAAAACATGCAGCTTTACGGGCTATTAAAAAACGAAAATCGAAAATAAGCACCTTTAAGCACTTTTTAAAAACGCTACGTACCTTGTACTTATATAGACTTGTTATATAAACCTAATACCTACTCAATTTCAGAAAAAAATTCTCTGAATTTTCTAGGTTCCTAGTTTCTGGACAGGTAAATTTCAATGAAAATCCACACCATATTTTATCTATACCATGCATCCATCAAGAAACTTTGATTTTAATTATATGTAACGTCGAATATTAGATTTTGTAAACAAAAAAAAAACATATAATAGAATGAGAATGGAAACATGGATAAGTTTTACTAAAAAGTAGAATTTTATAAAATAATTAACAATAAAATATTGGTAGAATTATTTAACTCTAATCTCAATAACTGATTGCTGTTATTGACAATTGGTTATTTTCCTGCTGTGATATAGGAATTGTCCAGGTTTTTTTTATAAAACATTGAGACTTTCCCTGACTATTTCCTGCTTTTTAGAGTTAAAATGAAATTCCTTGTCAATCCCAGGTTTTCCCTAACCAGTGGAAGCCCTGTAATAGTTATATAAGCTTTCAAATATTGGGAACTAAATAAACAGAAAAACTAAAAATACCATAAAATTCAAGTGAATCAACTACTTACTGTGCATTGCTTTAGTTTTAAACTTACAGGGAGAAATGAGTTAGTCTTTTATCCCGTTAATTATATGATTTATCTTGCTATTCATATATTTCTTTGATATAACTAATCAAAACAAAGATAAATGTTAGTGAGTCTTTTTAACATGACCATAAAAATTTTATTGAGCAAATATTGAATATTAAAAAAAAAGATTGATAATCAATCAGAATGATTTTCAATTCGATTAAATAATCTAATATTAAACTGATTAGTAGGCTGTGATAGCCTGGTTGGTAGGGCATTGGACCCATGTCCATGAGATCACGAGTTTGATTCCCACTGTCCGAATACTGCCGGTGTATGAAATGATGACTGGTGCATCCTAAATCTGTCAGGGACACAAAGTCCTCTAAGTTTCTTTAACAAATCAATAACTCTATGGGTACTAGATCGGAGATTGATTGTGCTCTCGTTCAGGTCAAAGGTACGATCTGCAGATAGATGTGTGAATGTATCCTCTCTTTATAAAGGGCTGTGGCACATGTGTGTGGCAGAAGTCAAAGATGGTGCCACTGGAAAACAAGAAACGCACCCCTTTGCCTTGCTTGTTAATATTGACAATTGGCATCAGACATCAACAACAACTGATTAGTAAGTTGGAAGAAATTAAAAATGACCAATACAATAGTTTAGTATTATAAAAACATCTCAAATTTACTTAAATTTAATATAGTACAAGAAAGTTAAGTTTTTCATGCCTACTTTTTGAAAAAAATAATCATTTTCATATCTTTTAAAACTCAGTTCTCAGTTTATGTATTAGAGTAGAAACAATTAACACGCTTTATGTAATTTGTAGAGGTGTATATGTTTAGGTGATTTGTTAATTTATTAGCATTAGGAAAATTTGATAATGATATTAAGTTTTTTTCTATATAATTATGAAATTAGGTTTTACTGCACTCATTTACAGATTTTAAGACATTCATTAAATTTATTTTTCTATTCAATTGTTGCTTTTTAGTTCTCTTATTTAAAAATTATATAAAAAATTTTGAGGAAATTAATACCATTATTAATTAGATTACAATTACAAACTGTTAAAAAGTAATTAAGTATTATTTTTTTTTATTTATTTTTTTTGAAAACTAATTTAAGAAAGACTAATTAAGACTAATTTTTACTTCTTCTAGTAGAGTTGGAAAAAAATCTATTCCTTCTGAGGGAAGTTTTTTTTTTCTCATCATTTTACTTATTCAAGAGAATTCTAATTATAGAAAATTTTCAAAAAAAGATTTTTTCTCAGTCAATATTTGAAGAGCTTAGAATAGTGTTTAAAAACATTACTAGAAAAGTTTGACTTATTTCAGAAGTCAACATAAAGGATAGATAGGTGATCGGGGTATAAAGGTTTTGCTTCTTTTTATTATATAAGGTAAATTCATTTCTTAATAAGAAATTGCAACTTATAAGGGAGTTTGTTGTACTGCCTTCTTAATTAGGACAGCAGAAAAGAAAATATAACTTCACCAAGAAAAAGTAAAATATTTGTTTAATTTGTGTGTGTAACAAATTATTTCATACAGCATAAATTAATAAATATAAAAAATATGGTTTTAGTTATGGAAATATCTCTGATTAATGAGCACTATAAATGAATTTTTATTGTTGTAGACCATTATGGCAATGGGTGAGATTGCTCTTGTTTTCTAGTGGCGCTATCTATGGTCAAAAATTTGACACATCCGTTCATAGGGCGGACCCATTCATTCACCCAGAGATCGTAATTTTGACTTGAACCAGAGAACGATCAATTTCCACTTCAGTACCCCCAAAGGTATAATTTGTTATGGGAACATGGAGGACTTATTGACCCGACAGATTTAGTGTGTATCCGTAATAATTTACTACACGGAGAGTATTCATCCTGCTGGATTCGAACTCCAGAACTGGAGTTCAGCGCTCTGCCATCCCGGCCCCCTAGAAATGAGTTCATTCTTAATAAATGTTTATTAACAAACACATTTCTAATCTACCTAATTCTTTCACAAATATAAAGCATACTTTCTAAAAGTAAAAAGTATTCCGAGCCAAGTGGTCACAGGGATAAAGGCTCCTCAATTTTGCAGCCAACAGCATGATGTATGTCTCAAGCAAGTAATGTGTAAGGTTTTTAATGCTAGGAATTTTTTATGACTATAATCTCTTCTAAAACTTCTGGCAGTTAATTCTATTGTTTTTTGTTATTTTATATCTACAATAATATGGTGTGAAAGACCATCACACTCCATAACTGTATTTCAACATACAATCAATGGTTCTCTTAATGTAATAGTCTTTCACACATTATTGTTATAGATAACAAATAAGAAAGAATTACTCTAGGATTAACTGTCTGCATTATGTAAATGGGCCAAATTATAAAAGTCAGATTAAAAGATATAAAAATAAGTGATAATATCAGTCAAGACAAGAGGAAATGATTTTCACAATAAGCTACATAGTCTATGAAGTGACAAAATCGACATAATTACCTACTACTACTGGATAGACGAAATGAAATTTTGACATAGCAACCATGTTGACCAAGTGACTCATGCGCTTTGTAATGATCTGAAGATAACCCTTGCTCATATATGAGCATTGCTTTATTACAATTTAGGTGTAAAAAAAAGAAGTTGATACATATTCTGGTCTCTGTTAAACCTCACTCAACTAACTGTCAATTTATCAACAAAACAAAAAAAGAATTAAAAATAAAATTATCAGTTCTAAAAATATTTCTATATCTAATATTATCAAATGCTTCGTAGATTCATTAACTCAGTGTCTTTTTTCCCTTGTTTATCTCTTCCTTCACTTGCTATTTCAAGAATTAGTCAAAGAAGTTACTTCAATTACCTTTGTCATGCTAATCTATAAAAATATGCTGTATCACAACAATCAAACTCAGAAATAAATATGTTTAAAATGCAGCTTGAACCCCTAATGTATAAGGGTTTCATTTCTGAAATGCGATGTACAGGAAAAGGAGTAGGCAATTTTTAAAATTAAAAACAAAAAATGCTACTTTTCTATCAACTGAATTGCAACATACGATACAAATTTTGTTTTAGACTAAGTTTTAAAAAATTTGACTTGTAAAAATGTACTAAATTATGAAGGGGAAAAAATTACGTTGTGTGCAACCTTACAGACCCTAAATATAGTTTTAAAATTATACATGACCATGAGACAACCCATTGTCAACGAAATGACCCTGTCGACAAAACAGCATGTTGAATTAAATGATCCTTAAATGAAGTGATTGTCACTGAAATGAATGTGACTCCTTCTCCAGTTACATGGGCATTAGAACACAGAAACCACACATTTATATTTAGACGTTGCTTGCAGTTAACCTTACAGTTAAAAACATAGTTAACCAAAGATATTATAGTTATTCTACTATTCTAAGCAAAAAGGAAATGTTTGGTTTACTTATAATATTTATAATAAGCAAATACAATAGATATTACTTATTAATAAATTTCTATACCATAAATAATAAATGCAGATTAAACAAAGAATTTGAACTTAATGAAAAAAAGGAGATAAAGAATGCCTATGGATTTTGATAAACTCTCTTAAATGATATGATGAAAGTTATATTATAAAGTAGAAAATTGACATACTTCATTAAAATATGTGTAGCTTGTGTTTGTACAAGTTCTGTATAGAGGCAACATGAAATATTTTTTCTTCTAAACAAACATGATGATGGATGCATTTTTATTTCTTGATTAGTTTCTACCTATAAGACAAAAATAAAAAGACATTTTGAAGGAAAATGTATATAGCAGGTGTTTCAAAAATGTCGCTGGAAATTTTTTTAAAAAATTAAATCTTGAATAATGGACAAACTTGTAAAGCATGTTGGTATAATATAAAGGAATGTGCGAATGCCGCTCGCCAAAAATTGTCTACTATTACTAAAAAAATAATAATAAATCTGCTTCTAAAAAAAGAAAACTTGTCTTTTTGATATTCACAAGAAGAAAAAGAGAATTGTTTTCATGCTTTTTCTTACCAATGCAAACACAAATTCAAATTATATTTCCTAATTTAAAGTCACACATCCCGATTTAAAATCATGTATAGTGTTTCGTATTCATGCAATTTAAAAGCTACTATTATAATTCGTGTTCAAGTGACTTAAAAATTATACATCGGAATTTGTAATCATACAATTTTACAATGAAACATCGAGATTCATGTTCAAGCGATTTTAAAATCAAACATTGAGATTTGTGTTCAGGTGATTTTAAAATTAAACATCGAGATTTGTATTAAAGGGATTTTAAAATTAAATGTAGAGATTCATATTCACACAAATTTAAATAAAATGTTGGATTAATATTTTTATTACATTCATAACATTCTGTGGATAAATATTTCCAACATACATTTTTCTTGCTTATATTTTAGGTATTTTTTCAATTATTAAAAAAGTATTTTTGCACAAAACATTTTTGGATTTCTTTTATCAGCTTTTTTATCTAACTCATCCCTGTAGTATGAATCTATACCGAGTTCAATAAAAATTAAACATTTTAATAAAAATCTCAGATTTTCAAACAAAATCGCCAAAAGGAGGTGGCAAGGAGAGGATTAAAACTAGTTACAAGAGTTAATCAATGAGCACAGAAAGTTTTTCATTTCAGAGATAGTTTTGCTTAAGAGACACGTTTCAAAATCGAAGCAATTGCTAGATGATAAAAACTATCTACAAAATAACCACTATTTGCATTAATAATGAGGTACAAATTTTTCAGTTAGAGATCTCTAGTTGGAAACATTGCATTGTCATAGTCATTAGCACTGTTTGTTAATGATATTTGTCACTTAATTCGGAATTACCCAAAGCCCAAGAATTAACTCCCAGACTAGCTAAGCAGAACATTTCCATCTCCTTACTACTTTTTTATTAGCTTTTCAGAATGATAGTCAATCAATGGGACACCTGGCAATACTTTCAATTTTGTCTTCAGTATTTTAATATCTAAAATTTTAAAGTGAAAAAGTGTAGTTCTAAAACAACTTCAGAATGACTTACTACTTTGTAAATACCATTTTCATACAAGAGAGCAACATTAAAAAAGAGACCAGTCGCCAAGCATTTTCTGCAAAAAAAATATTAACATCAAAATTATTTTATTACACATGCTAGAGAGATAAACAATAAAAATTTTCAACTGATTTGTTTTATTTTCATCAGCAAGGGCTATTTTAGTGGTCTAAATATATGACAAGAAAGACAATGTAAAAAAATTATGCAAAGAAGTCGGACATCTTTAAAATTAAGAAGTTATGAAACATATTTTAAAATTCAAATACAAAAAGTTCTGAAAAAAATTGACAAATAGTAGAAAAATAACTAAAGATACAACTTACTGAATTTGCATAGGATCATTGCAGTTAATAGAAGGGATATTCACACGACAAGAAATATTATATAATTGCTTCCTTATAGCTATGCATGTCCTCATATTTGAAGGATTAATAAAATTTTCTCTACACCAATCCTACAAAAAAAAGTTAATTACAATACACATTTTTTCCTATGAGTAGATATGCCTAAGCCCTCCAAAATACTGTAGGAATTTATTTCATCATATTGACTAGTTTATAGGTAGTTTAACCCTTTCGCGACGCAAAGCTCGAAAGTGCGCTTACCGCTGTGGCCGGCAGTCTCTCTAGCGTGTGTCTCCCCAGGGCCGGAGGGTTTTTCGATGTTCAGCCTAATTCCATGAAATTACCGAAATATCAGCGCGTTGTTTAATATTGTTCTGTAGAGTATTTAAGTGACATATGCTTTATATATATTTCTATGGATACTTTATTTACTTAAGTTATTTCTTGTTTAAATGTAATATAAATATTAATAAGTTTAAATATTTTGCATAATTTCCTCTATTTCCAGCTCAGTTAAAAATTTTCGACGCTTCGACATTCTAACGGTAAAAAGAAAAAAAATTCAAGCCTACAAGATCTAATTATCCACTAAAAACTAATCCGAAAATCGAAAGTAGCGAGAGATAAAAAAAAACTCCCTTACTTACTGTAAATAAATATCACGTGCTAATTTAAAGAGCCCTCATAAAACATTCCCCCCCTCCACTCCTTCCCCTAAAAACCACGTGAATGTACTTTCATCTTGAGTAGAAGGTCAAATCTACATGTATCTGAAACCATATGGACATACAATGCCATCTTTTGGAAGAAATTTCATTTTTTAAAACGTTCCGAAACGCTGGCACAAATAAGTGACGGTCGGGGGTGAACGAGAAAACTCTCTGACACGCGGGTGTGTCGGTCGGGAAGTGAGCGCGTTTCTTGCTGGCACATATATGTGACAGTCGGCTCGAAAGGGTTAAAGTACTGTTAAACCATTTGGTGAAAGTGTACTTCAAAAAAATACTCTTGAAATTTGTTGCTGAAGATTATTTGTTAATATGCCAACACGAGCAAAATAGTTTTTTGGAAATAATATTAAAGTGCACTAACCATTTAATCTATACCTTAGGCATATTAAATTATCTGCTCAATTTGTTTGATCATTACATAAAAATATAAGTTTAAGTAACACTAAAAATAGTTTTTTTTAGCAAACAGCTTAACTTCATACTTACAGGATTTCCTTTATATTTTTTGTATTGTTTATAAACATCTAACGTCATAAGTAGGTCACCTTCTATTCTTTCAAATTTCTGTCTGGCTTTAGAAAACTGATCCCTCTACAGAGAAGAAAATTCAAATGATTAAGTATGGTACATTTGGAACTTTTCAAAAAAAGAAAAAGTAATGTACTTACATCATCTATTTTTGTATAAAATATGGAATCTACAGACAGTAGTGAAACTATTGTAAGGATTTCATCCCTATAAAATAAATAACTATTATTTTTATTAAAACAATTTTTAAAAAAAGTGATGAAAATAACTACAAGTACAAGAAAATAACTACAAGGGACAATTTGAGTGACATGGGTTGAATAGTTGCTAAGAAATGCAATTTTAAATACAGTACAGAACCCGTTATCCGGAAATCAGAAAACCGGAAAACCAAAAAACCGGAACGAAATTTGATAAATTTTCCCGCTATTTTTTAAACAAAAAAAATAAATGTTTTCCTCGTAAGATTTTAGGATTTTTCTTTCTTTTTTGAAAGATGTTTACCCTAGCATCATTTTGGAAATAATCATTAGTGTATTACTTCGTTTTTTCAAGATTATTTCCAAATATTTTTTTTTAGTTGGTTAACAATAAAAAAAAACGACTCTTTGTAGCGATTCAGAAAACCGGAAAAATCAGTTATCCGGAATAGCGATGGTCCCGATCGTTCCGGATAATCGGTTTCTTACTGTATATGAATAACAAAATTTTTAATATTCTGAAACATTTTAAATGTTGAATAATGTCAACAACATTATTAAGGTAACGTTAAATTACAATAAATAAAAATAAGAAACTTACGTGCAGCGATATTTCTTTGACTCTATAATTATCTTAGAATATCTAGGATCTAATGGAAATTTTACCATCCTCTCTCCACACTCAGTCAGCTAAATAAAAAAAAAATTATTAAGGAAACTATAAGTCAATAATAAGTTAATGATAATAAATTTAAAATCCCTAGAATATTTATATTAAATAAGAAATATTAGTTTTTTTAAAACTATTTTTTAAGTAATTCTCACTATTTTCAATGTCTTAAAACTTCAGATCTGTTTGACTTAATTATTAACATTACAACAAAAAAAAAGATAAGTTAACATTAAAAAAAAGTAACTTATAGTTATTGTAACCATCTGAAATTCATCCATAGTAAAAATCTGAAGACTACCACAGAATATGTTTAATATACCACCACAGTTTTGATTGAAGAGCGGACATTGGTGGAATGGTAATCACTTTTTCACTGTATCATACTCTCCCAGCTGCATATGGACTTGAAAATGACTCTAAAATCACATGGATCATAAGAGTAGAATCTAAACTAATTGAGACACAACTATAGATGTGGGTCGGGTAAATACCCAGTGAGTAGGTTATTTACCCCTATCAGGGGTATCACCATATAAACTTCATCCTGCTTTTGTAGTTCAACAGCTAGAAATCATGACTCACATTGTCTTGCTCTTTATGAATGCCTCGCGATTTTTACCCTTTGAATGCCTATTCTTGCTTAGATATTGCACTTGAAGCCCCAATATTTGAATATGTGTAAACACCTGGCTAAGCTGATATGTTGCACACAAAACTTATATTTATTAATTTCAGAGTATTGTTGCATGAATTTATATATTTTCAATTCTAAATGCTATATTGTTTATCAAAGAAAGAAAAAAGTGAAGCACGTATGATCCGCAAAGCGGATAATCTGGAATTAACTGTACTTAAAATCTGAAAAAATCTTCGCATTTTAGAAATATACATCAGGCAAAACTTTCCTAGATGTTAGTTTTGAGTCCACAAATATTGGGAATTATGCATCAAAATGTGAAATTCAGGATGATTAAACTATAGTATCTAATATACAATGATTAATATATAACTAAATACTATAGGAATTTCAACATGAACCTCAATAAATAACTAATGAACTGTTGACAATGCAAGCAAAACTTAATTATAATTTAAATACATATTATTTTCTAACCCCTCTCAAATAAAAAACATAATCATTGAATTTTATAAAAAAAATTCATAAATTTTGGGTATTCAAACCAAATTATAAAAACTTTAATTTTTTTGATATTGTCAATCATAGAAAGGTTTAAGGAAAATTCTGCTAAGGAATTGTTATCGATGTGGATTTTAGTCAAAAGTTATTTTATGTTAAAATTGAAGTATTTTGTTTTGGGAGTAAATCTGTTTATGTAAAACTATTGATAGTAAACTTTTTTTTAGTAGCCACATGTTCTTAAGCCTAAAAAATACAACACTTCTCCCTATGATTGGTTAATAAGCATTAGTGACCTGGGGCAAAGCCTCGTAGTCCAGAAAAGATAAATTCTTCGATAGAATAATAAAAGAAAAATTATGTCTTTTACCTCCAATAAACCATTTTTTTCTACAACAGCATCCAAAAGCTTCAGGGTTTTGATAGCAGCAGCAATATTCTGCAAATAATCAATGCATCAAACAAAAATACAAATGAGTAAATTTTACAAATAAAAATTATCAGAAAACCATCTTAAAATAAGAACACGTCTATCTAATTTACAAAAATTAAAACAAAACAAGCACTTATTTTTTTCCCAAAAGATTAAAAATTTATAATTGAAGAAGAAAAAAATAATATTTACTTCTTCAGATGGTTTATCTATAAAATCAAATCCAACTATATTTCGTATGCCAATGGCAACCATCTCTAAAATGGCACTCGACAGACAACATCTAATAGGAAAAACAAATAATGTTGCTCATAAAACATATATTATTTGTATATTATAAAACATAAATTAATTGTATATTAATAGTAATTGCTCATAACACTTATATTAATTGTACCATTACAAACATAAACTTACTTAACCCTTTTGACCTGAATGGGATATATACAACCCAAAGATTAAATTTTATTCTCTAATGAATAAACAGATCACAATTTTGAATCGGTTTTTATGTTCTCAGGGTTCTGAATCCTTTCACTAAAAATTAAATTACTAAACAAACATATAAATGAATTTCTTTTTCCTCAAACAGTAAAGAATGACATATAAGTTATATTAAGCCTTAATTTTGATAAAACATTGCTAATAAAAATTTGCCTCATAAATTTTTCAACTTAGCTGCCCAAAATTTTAAAACCATGCTCTCTCATTATAACACAAACCTAATTCTTTTAATATTATTTAAATTAAATTATCTTTTAAAATTTTACAAAAAAGTAATGAAAAGAGAAAATACAAAAAACGATATTCACCTTAAAATTTCTGGTTCAGTTTGCTCCTGGAAACTTCTATATTGTTCATCCGTATACAAACGGTAACACTTTCCACTGATGGAAGGAAAAATCATTAACTGTCATTAAGAAGACACACAAATTTTTGAATAAAAAATAAATAAAACTATAAGCAATCAAGAATTACAATCATTAATTACAATAATAAAAAATTATGTTGGCAAATCTTTTGCATAAATGCAATAAAATTAGAAAACTTACAATATGTAATACGTTTTTTTTTTCTTTTTTTTCTATCTACACATGCTTTATCTAAACTAAGATACACATAACTCATATCAATGACACTAGAACAGAAGTGGGCAGTAGTGCATTGCACTGATGCACCACTGATACACCCAGCGCACTGATGGGATTTCAAATTTCAGACAACCAACTGCTTATTAACCGGAAACTACTGAATTATCAGAACAGACTATTTTAATTCTAAAGATAAATTTTAAAAAAAATTTTCATTGTTCTGATTTCAGTATAATTCTGATAAATTTTACAGACAAAATTTGTATTTTGAAACTATAAAATTTACACTCCATACCCAGAAACTTTTAAAAAATCTATTTCTTCCTTTTTCTTATTCAGATCTTAAAAAAAAATTAACAGTTGTTTCAACAATTCTAGTTTTTGCTTTAAGTTTCAATTGTATTTAAGCATAAAAATAAGACAAATTAAGAGTTAATTTCTAAACCATTAACTATTCCTAATATAGTTTCAGCTTTTTTTAATATTTATTTAATTCTAAGCCAGGTATTTTGAATATATTTTCTTGTACTTCAGCTATGTAACTTTCTTCTTAATTAATAACTATGCATAGTAAAATAAGTAGTAGAAACAAAACAAAAAAATTGCTTTCTTAAATGCTAGCAGATTTTTTTGAAAATTTAAGAATACATTTCATTCCTAAACAATAATTAGATCAACTTTCAATTATACTAAAATATTAAATAAAAAATTAAGAATTAAAAAGTATGTGTATATAGATGCTTGACACTAGTTAGAGAGATATTTACTTATAAATAGTATATAGAAAAAAAAAGCTGGTCATTGAATTTTTACAATTAAATATTAGATTCCCATTTTTAAAAAAATGGTGGCAGTTCAACTGTATTAGTAATATAATTTAAATTAGTGGTACATAAAAATATATAAACTAGTAATCTCACAAGTTACAAAATATATGCAGAAACAGAAGTTCACTGTTTTAAAAGACATGTTTGTTTTTAATAGTGTAATTTAAATGAATTTGTCCTAAGATAATTTACTAATGTCTGTAACAGGGCTGGATATCCAAAATACAAAAATTAAGAAAAATTTAAGAATGCTGATTGTTCAATCAGAGCAATTTGTACAATACCAACATGGATTTGGAGACATGCAATTGGTAATAGTTTTAGTAGTTCCTGCACTTAAGTGAAATAAGAAACATTTTTAAAAAGATCAGATTTTTTTAAGAAAATTTCTTTTACTTTTTTTTAACAAAAAAGGGGGGAAATGGTCAAGTCGTAGCAAATTACGAGGATGATGCTCTTGTGAAAAACAGCGGAGCACCATATAGAGATGAGGAAGTAGAGAGATAAGAGCTCTTTATATATTTCTCCCACAAGGAATACTTATATGCCATCAAATTAAGAGTAATTGTCTCTAATATTGGAAGTAGATTAATACTGTACTTGACACGCTATGAAGACTATGTTGTTCACTTTGTTTCATGGCATATAGAATATAACATAATTTTTGTGTTTGAAATTTCTTCAATTCTTTTTTCGATAAATATTTTGTCTTCCAGTTAATTTCAACAAAAATTTGGAAAATCACAAAAATTTCAGGACATTTATTGAACTGTTTAATAATTAAGGGCATTTACGGACACTCTAATTTTTTTTTTTTTTTTTTAGAAATTCAGGAATTTAATAACAATTTTGAATCCTGCTGTAAATTATATCAAATAATTTTACAATACTTAATTTCTATGCACTTCTGTTCTGCTAAGCCTAGTTCATGTTAATATTCTAAGTGGAGTGGGTATGTTTGAATTACCTATTGAATTTGTTTATAAATTAGTATGCAAGCCTTTAAAATTAATCTTAAAAATAACCTTACTGACTCTTATATTTCATTGTAATTAGAAATGATAATGTTACTGAACATCAAAAACGGTGGTAATTATTTGAAACCAAAATTAGTATAAAGGAGCTTCGTCAGTGTTAAACTGCACAAAGAAATATCCTAGATGAAAGATTTACACAAATACAAGTCGTAAACTCAAAATTGGGTCAGCTGTTCAACCACGGTTATAAAATAAAATAATTAGCTCTAATGTTCCACTACATTTTTGGTGTAAAGTGGTTGCTTGGTGCTCACGTAGACTAAAATTTTTTGGCAGTGAATATAATAGGAAAAAAATATTGAAGCAATTTTCAAACTTACTCACACTCTCTACCAGCTCTGCCACTTCTTTGTATTGCTTGTGCTTTAGAAATGTATTGAGGTAGGAGTATATCAAAACCACAGGTGGAATTATAAGACCTAAAACACATTATAAGTATGCTTAAATTGATTTAATAACGCATTTACCTAATTTGTAACAATAGCTAAATAAAACAGGCAGGCAACATAAGTTTTAAAAATAAGAATATATATTAGCGTGCTAAAGTCTTTGGTCAAACTCAGTGTTAGAGATGGTTGATTGGAAATGTAATAAATGATGTATATTTTTATTCCTAAACATTTCTAATATGCTTATCAACCAAAAAACAAAGTTAGTGCTTTGAAAGTCACTTTAAATCAAATGCAATTTTCATATCAGTCAGGTATTTGTTTTTCGTGAAGCGATTTTCTTTTATCTAAGAATTGGATAAAAATACAATTGAAAGGTACAATTTTAACAAATGAGCATAAGTTTTGCAGATTTATTTACAGAAATTGTGACTTTAATTTTAATTTAATATTGACAATTATTTTTTAAAAAATTAGTTCTTACAAGACTCGAATTATACAAAAAAAGAAATATTCAACTCAACTGAGTGCAAAGATTTAAATTTAATCCAAAGAAGATTACATTTTCCATTAAATTGCAAGAAAAGTAAAAGTTCTGAAATCAAGTGTAATACATATGTTGCCTTGACTAAATAAAACGGAAATTTTCATTTAAAAAAAAAACACATAGAAAGGTTTAAATGCCTTTCACGTGTTGACCAAAAATTTTTGCACACTAGTGTAATAGACTTTTTAACAAACAAATCTTATAAAAGTAAGAAATTTGTGATAAATAAATAACTATTTACAAAACTCTATTTAATCAATGTTTTCAGACTCCAAAAGAAAGAAAAAAAGCCGCATAATCTACATTTTTTAATATGGCAGCTTTTTAGTGTTCCACTTATGAACATTTGGAATGTACAGTTCTTCTCAATATAGTGAGCAAAATTTTTTACTTTTTTTTAACACCCCCGAAATACTCCAAAAACAGGTTTCCGAAATTTTTCCGACCAACAAGGCCCTAGACATAATCTACAGTCAAAAGAATCGTCAAATATTGGTTATGCACCATCGTAGAATATTTTAAGTGAATTTTGCACCGTCATTTAGAAATTGAAGTTTTCTGTCCTTCTAATAATAACTTTCCAAAATTTCTCTTCAAAAGGTTCAATATATTCCTCAATCACATTTTTTTAAATTGCATTTACTCTTTTTGTGAAATGTAAGATGTGAATTATTTTAGTATTAAAACAAATAGTATTATTGCCATTCTGCTTGATTTTAGTCTTGATAAATTCTTTGGATGTATGTTAATTACTAAAAATGGCTGCTTCTAATCAGTGTAACGCCATATGCTTAGAGCAGAAATTGAAAAGTGGAAAAAAGAATCACAAATTGCTCAATATCACTAATTGCATACAAGATCCATTGTTTACAATATTTAAAAATAATGTAATTCTAAGGGTGGAAGCACAAAGTGTTCTAATTCTCATGAAGCATTATTTTAAAATCTAAAAAAGAAAAAGCACTGAATGACTAGCTCAAGTATAAATGCAATGTTAAAAAATGCCATTTGAAAAAAATCTAAAGGCATTTTTAACCTTTAATGAAACTTTATTAAATAATACTTGTACTTCTTGACACATAAAAACAGTGTATTAATCAGTTTAATACTTCTTTTTAAAAAACAAATTCTATTTCAAAACAAAATCTAATATTTATGAAATATAAGTAAATATTTGTCCTAATTTTTATGGTAACCTCAAGTTATAATGTCCGTTTCGTTCATCCGTCCCAGTGACTGATAAATTTAACAAACATATAAATTTTGTACAAAAGAATTTTGATAATTTTCAGATTTTGAATAATAGTTATTAAATTTATTCATATGCATGATTTCTTTTTAATTCTAAAAGCATGGCAAGTTTTTTAATTATTTGTTAGTTGTAAATACAAATTTCATAAAATGTTTAATATTATTTCATTAGTATGAAATTCCTTAAATATAATTGGCTATAAACTGAAAATTCATACTTTTATTATAAACTGTAAACTAAAGTAAGAGTAACATCTCATCAAATAAATCTTAAGGTCAAATATTTATAGAAGTTTGTAAAATAAGCCCTGGACGACAATATACTGGTCTTTAAAGTGAGAGTTCAATTAACAGTTTTAGTGGTTATTAAATGAACTCCCAATATTTACATTTATATAGATGAAGGAATTCTTAATGTTTAGTCTTAGTAATTTTCTGTGCTTCATATAAGTATTTTAGCTTATTTTACACACATGATGAATTAATTAGAAGATTTTAACTCTTAACAGTCCAAAAATATTTCAACCTTACTTCTCATCTGGCCTAAGCAATTTTTCATGTGAAGAGTAACTGTAGTATTTTTATACTAAGCATATAAAAGAAAATATTTGAGTGAAATTTTAATAATGTGTATTAATTTTATTAGAATTATACTATGCAAGCTATCTAATTAATTTGAATTACATTAATTATAAATATGACATCAGTAACAGTGTGAAAAATAATAATAAAATGAATACTGACAGCATAAATGAGGCATTGGACACAAGTAAAAGTGCAATGGCAACATTGGACTGTTTTGGATAAAAACAGTGTTGCAATTGCAAAAATTAGGATTTATTTTTTGTTGTTGGTAGTTGTGATGTTAAATTTCTCACTTAACTTTTATTTATTGTAATATGATTAATAATTTTACTTTTTTTTCATTTTAAGCTTTACTTTTAATTTAAATTCATGTTTAATTTTCACTTATTTTCTTTACATGGGCTATAAACCAATCTTGATGTTTAGATAACTTTCCTAAGTTTTTTCTAGAGCCTTTCAGAATTTCATGATTGAAAATAATCGAAGTTCTTGAAATTAAAAAATTGTTTCTCAACAAATAGAGAATGTATATCATTTTGACAGTAAGTCATCATTTTTAAGTTTTGATATTGATAAAGGGATAGAACGGTCATTTAATTATAACTGAATTTTGTATAAATAATATGAATATGAAGTTTTATGGTATTTATTTAATGTATATGCATGCTACGCTTTGAAAGCATTAACATTGTAAATTCGTAGTGAAGCCTGTGTTGATTGAAAAAGGTACAGGAACATGGAGAAATTATGTAATTTTATTAAAATAAGGGCGGGAGGTCCAAAAATGAGAACAATACATCTTGGTAGATAGATAGAGAAGTGTGATAATTGACCTAGGAGTGAGGGTTTTTAAATTTTTCTGGACAATATATAAAACCATTCCCACAAAGAAAGTAATAACATAGCTGCCCACCTTAGGAATAAAAAATTAGGAACACTATACGCGACAAAATTACGCACCAATTACGCAAGACAAAAATTTAAATACCATAACTAAATTAGTAAAACAAAACTATAAACACTATCCTTTGAGGGAAATTTATAATATTAATATTTTATAATTAGGAATCCCCATATAATAGTTTAAAAACAACCATTACCTTTTAATATAAAATTATTCCTTTCCCAATTATAAAAGACAGGTAAATAATAATCTACAATATAAGCAAATATTTCTGATGCAAGTGTTTAAATACTGCAATACATTTTTTAAAAAATAATAATAGTTGTTTAAGATTCAATTTAGTGAAATGATCAGCAACAGCTATTGGAATAGTATTTTCCAATAAAAAGCTACTGAAAATTACTTCTACACAATAATCACAGGAAGCTTGCGGCGATCAGAACTAAGGTTTGATTTCAAAGAAAATATACTGCAATTTTAGGAAAATTCGGATTTTTATACAAAAATATCAGACTTTAACATTTGATTTAAAATTTCGGAACAAATCCGAAAAATTCTGAACAGTTGGCAGCTATGTAATAATATTGATCTAATTATCTCAGAAAATGTGTCTTTAGAAGCTTGGGAAATTGATCATATATTAGTTATATAATATTAAATATATAATATTAAACAAATAATATTTAAATATATTGTCCAGAGAGATATAAAAACTCTCTTTCCAAGGTCAATCGTTTCTTCTTTGTCTATCCACCTGCATGTGATGTTCTCATTCTGCGATTCCAGCCCTTATTTTAATCAAATTCTATTATTTTTCCATGCTCCTGTACATTTTTTTATAAACATTGGCCACACTACGAATCTACCATGTTAATGCTTTCAAAGCATAACATGCATATAAATTGTTTTCCTGTTGGTAAATTTCAAGTGAAAAAAGATTTTTATAGTTTATATTTTGTCTATATTTTGATATATTTGGACAATAATTATCATATGGAATAAAACAAATGGCAAAAATTAATCTGGTGAGATTTTTATAGAGATATATAGATACATAAATCTTTTATATATAAAACACTTTTGATTATAATCATTTTTCAGATCTTGTAGCAACCGCTATACCAGAAGTATACTATTTTTTTGCTTGAAAAGGTTTTAATTAAACTCACTTCTATAAATTACCTGACAAACAGTTTCTACTAGGACACTTTTTACAAGGTTTAAATTTATTCAATTCACATAAATTCTGGCTTCAAATCCAAATTGCAAAACTGCCATTACTTGGGAGCAAAGCTCGAAAGTAAGAGAAATTTTTTTAAAACTTGTTAAAATATATATATATAAAATTGCACTTAAATAAAATTTCTTAAATGTTATTTTGAAATGCTGAACACTTACTTTGCTTTTACCTTGCCGGTATCAACAACATACTTAACACCAGGTATAGTTATAGAGGTTTCAGCAATATTTGTTGAAAATATTACTTTTCTGGAACCCTAAAAAATTTGTTCATATCAATATTGGGCAAATGATACCAAAATTTAAAAGAAGTTTCATATCAAATGAGAGAGAAAAAAATGCTTACACCAGGTGCTGGATTAAAAACAGACGTCTGTTGTTCTATTGGCAGAGCACTGTACATAGGGAAAGCATAAATTGGTCCTATATCTAAAATAATAAACATTAAATCAAAATTATTATTTTCATTATGAAATGCCAATTGTTTGTTGCTAGGCCATTAAACTACGAGTTCTCGGATATTTTTCTACTTGAGTAGAAAAAGAAAATATTCAGGACACATCCGCAAACTTAGATAAAATGAAAAACTTTCAGCAAACACAAAATTGCAATGAAAGAAGTTTCTGCTAGCATTTATTGACTCTTGTAACTAGTTTCAACCCTTTTGTAGCAATTTTGACAAAATTTGTTCAAAACTCGTTTTGAAAAATATTTTAACTTTAAAAAATTATATTGATTATTAATTACACATGAAAGCATAAATTTTTTAATGATACTTTAAACATAAAACAAAATATTGATTTATCTTGTTTTGGACTTTTTTTCTACAGTAAAGTATTCGCTCAGAAACATTTCAATGCAACATTTAATAAGTATTATTATAAGAATCACTTTTCAATTCTTCTACACTTAAATAAGTTTACTTTGTTGCACTACCCAGTTTACAAAGTATAATACTACAGAAATAAAAGATTAATAAAACTGAATTATTTCAACACGTTTTATCACTAAAAAATACTATAAACAAATTACATACTTGATGTTACCATTTATGAAAAAAAAAACAGTGATATACATACGTATGTAACATCATAACTTCTTGAGTGTTTTTTTTAAAAATAATAATGAGTAATACTAAAAAATTTCATCTAAGGAGACAAATTTTCCAAAAACAGAGTTCGCTTACAATATTTATATCTGCTCATTCAAATGCAAAATAGTCATATCCTGGTCAATCCTACAAAGTTGTCATACTAAAATTATACACCAGTCATACAAAAATTATATATAGCTATTAGAATAATTGTTATATTTTATTATACATGCAAAACAATATCTATTGAAAACAACTAACAACTTCTATTGAAAACATTGATAAACAGTTCTGTAAAATAATCTTATTTTTCCTTTATTCTTTATTTATATTTCTTATCTCAGGATTTCGTGTTTTACTCTTTGCCTTCGCTATCTTTACTTTCAAATTAATATTTCAATCATTAATATCATTCAATTATTAATAAGTTATTACTTTAGAACAAGTTTATGTTGTTCCTAAAATAAAACTAACTTTAATAATATGCAAACAAAACAAGAATTTTCATACAATAATGAGTTTATATCCACCATGTTTTACTATTAGAGTTTTTCTTTTATATAAACATATTTTTCAATATGAAAATTTTTGATGAGAGGAGTGTGAAAAATAATTATGAATCATATGTTGAACATTTATTTCAAATATTAATGCAAGTTCTATCTTAAATTCTCTTAATATACATATATTCTTAATAATTATCCATACATTTATGAAGGAAATAATGTTTCAGAATTTAAATTTTTCTAATTGTGAAGAAATGAAGTTTAAAAAAAATTGCTAATTGTGTAAAAACTTTTGATATTCTAAAGACATTTTTCAACTGAGATATCCTAATTTTTTTAGACTGTTGCTTGTGGCGCTTATCATAACACTTATTTGTATAGTCCATCAGTTGTACTAGCTATAAGTAAAGGGCAAATTCTCCCAACATCGCAATTTTTAGTCCTTATATTTTTATAGAAGAAAATTGTAAATTGAAAGTAAATTACTATGCATAAAATATTTTTATGAAATTTATGAGGAAAATGGTAAATTTTTAATTGAACAGAATGCTGAAAACTAATTTTGATATTACACATTAATTTCATGCAAACTATTTAAACATGTAAAGTATTAAATTGTAATCTGCTTTCACTTTTACATTAAACTATAATCTATTCTTGCATCAAACAATAATTGTGTAACCACCATTAGAATATTTTGATTGAACTCAATAAAAAATTCAGTTCCAATATATCTAATGGATGTATAAACTACCTGAATCTATGCAGTAGAAAATAGAACTTTCTGTATAGATCAAAAATAAAAGTCATATGACACAAGAATTATTCTAAATAGTCTAGATTTAATACAATTAAAAAAATCGAATATAAAGTCCTTCTAGAAAAGTAAAATTAAAAATTATTTAAAATCAACTTACCAATAGGTAAATGTTTTGCAAGAACACTTGTTTCCTTCACCATATAATCAATTTCCTCCTGACCAGTACAAAAAACCAATATATCACTGAAGAAAGAAAAAAAAGCACAGAAATCAAAGCTAAGTAAAAAAAAAAAAAAAAATTTAAATATACTAAATAATTATTTATCACACATATTTGAATAAAAAATAATTAATAAGATAACCACTTAAAATAAAAACTACTAACTGAATTTTTTGAAAAAATTGAGAGTCAATGTGCACAAACATTTGTAGAAATTTTCATTAGCTTAATATATTTTTTAATTCTAGCTTGTAATCTTTGTTATAAGGTTTATTATTTTTGCCATTTTCCTTGATTTAACATAGTAAAAATAAATAAATAAATAAATAAAATTGCACATTTTTCATCCAAGCAACTCATTTGAAAGGAAAAGTACAATTTTATTGTTAAATAAAAGAATTTTTAGAAATTTTAATAGTATGTACCAATAATTTAATCAATAGTTAAGCATAGTTAAATCACAGCTGCCAACTTAATAAAAACAAAAATAGAAGAACAAAGCCAATCAGGAGTAATAGTGACACAAAATGAACATTTTATGCACAAAAATTCAATATCAAGATATCAATTTATAAATCATACATGTTTCATATTTTACTAAAAATTTTTATTAAATTACTTACAAATGAAAAATATCACTTTTTTTAGTAACTAATTTTAAAAAAATTCATCTCTTCCAAGAATTGCGATATTGAATTTCAAAATCGCATGAATACGAAATGCAATATAACATTTTAAAAATTCGGAAATACAAATTACAGTATTGCATTTTTAAATTTCGTAAATACGAATCATGAGGCATACTCTTTAGATCGCGTTAATATGAATCACAACACGTAGTCTATAAATTACATATGAACAAGAAAACATATGTTTGTTATTAAAATCCCGACATTGGGTTTTAAACTCATTTGAATATGAATTGTGATATAGGATTTTTAAATTGTGCGAATATGAATCATTAAGCGGAACTTTTAAATCGGGTATACAAGAAAACTGATTATTTGTATTAAAATCGCATGAGTGGGATTTACAATATTAGCAGATTCCAAATATTCAAAATGGTGAAAATCAGCAAAACCAAAAGAATCTAATTGCCGAAAAAATCATATGTATGTAAACATCTCGTTAAAGAAATTTAGCAGAAGTTTAAAAATTTCCTCAGATTGTAAGTCTTTGATTCGTGGAAATCCGCGAACTAATGGTCTAGAGATAGGCAGAATTCTGTAACATTGGCAGAAAAATCACATGCACAGCTTTTAGTTTTCAGACCCGCCCTGAGTTGAAAGAAAATCTGTATAAGGAGTGAAAAGGTGCTAGAATACCGAAAAATTTGAACAGAGCTAAAAATTCAGATCAAATACAATTTAATTGGAACAGTTGGCAGCTATGTTAGATCCATAATTTTAGCAAAAAGAATAACAATGTACCCTTTCTCTTCATTCTGGTGTATTTTGAAGACAGTGGCTAAAGATGCATCAACATAACCAGATTGTTTCTTTGTAGGCTGTAATATCTAAAATAATAAATAAAATGAATAGGCTCTTCACCAAATTAAGAAAAAGAAATTTTTAACACATTTCTACATCAATTATCTTTACCTAGGAATTACACAAAGAGCTGCTATTGCTTAAATGTAAATCTATAATAGAATAAAAGTTCATTCAATTTTGCTGCAACTTCAGAATTATAACATTTATCATTGCAAAAAAAAAAAAATGTATAAATAAAAAAGGAAAGCTGAGTTTTAGATATAATATGCTGTAACAATAATGCTGCAGTTTCAGACCAATTTATAAAGCTTTAAGGCAGATAATTTTTAAATGAAATAAATATTTAGTATAAGTTTGTCAAAGTTAGTTGATTTATATAAAATGCAGCAGAAACCCCTTAGATGGGCTATCTATTGGGTTGTTCAGAAAGTAATTTCGTTTTTTTGGGGGGAAAAGANACCTTTTAAGCACTCAAAAATATTTGTAAGCACTTTAAAAAATATATAATTAGGCAGGGTTGGCAAGTTTTTGACAATTGACTGTTTATCCGGTTTTAACAGCCATGTTAGAAAAAAAAATTTGGCATAGTTTTTGACAATTGTCAAAAATAATGAAATTTTAAATCAAGTAAAAACGAATGGCGTTTTCATGCGCTACTAACCTACCGTACGCCGAATCTGGTTGTGTGAAAACATTGAATAGTACAATGTGAACAGTGTCTTTTTGCATAATACATGGCAAAAATCAACATGGTAAAGGGAAAATTAAGCACCTTTTAAAAACACCCAATGAAAAAAGCACCTTCAAGGGCTTTTAAAATACGAAAATAAGCACCTTTAAGAGCTTTTTAGAAACGCTACACACTCTGAAATTAGCGTAAGGAGGGAACTATAGAATACCAAAAAATCAGAACAGAGCTAAATATTCGGATAAAATACAATTTAATCAGAACAGTTGGCAGCTATGTAAGATCCATAATTTTAGCAAAAAGAATAACAATGTACCCCTTCTCTTCGTTCTGGTGTATTTTGAAGACGGTGGCTAAAGATGCATCAACATAACCAGATTGTTTCCTTGTAGGCTGTAATATCTAAAATAATAAATAAAATGAATAGGTTCTTCACCAAATTAAGAAAAAGAAATTTTTAACACATTTCTACATCAATTTATGCTTGCTTTATCTTTACTTAGGCATTACACAAAGAGTTGCTATAGCTTCAATGTAAATCTATAATAGAATAAAAGTTCATTCAGTTTCGCTGCAATTTAAGAATTATTACATTTATCATTGCAAAAAATAAAATAATGTATGAATAAAAAAGGAACGCTGAGCTTTAGATATAATATGCTGTAGCAGTTTAAGACCAATTTATAAAGCTTTAAGGCAGAAAACTTTTAAATGAAATAAATATTTAGTATAAGTTTGTCAAAGTTAATTGATTTATATAAAATGCAGCAGAAACCCCTGAGATGGGCTATCTAATATCTGATTCAAAATTACATTTCAATACTTTACTGCAAAAAAAAAGAGCAAATATATATAAAAATTAATACTCACATCTACATTGTAGCATCGACCAGGTATTTTATAAGATGGGCAGTTGTTGAAGTATTCTGAAAACTGCTTACAATCTAAAGTGGCAGACATCACAATTATCTAAAAGAAATAAGACTAAGAATTGGCATAAAAACGAAGCTAAAACTTTTAAAAACACCAGGAAGCTGAATTCCCAGATCAAACTCGATTTTTTTAATGTGATTAGTCTCCTTTGCATTACACAAGAAAGGAAACCATAAAAACCATTCAAGATAAGGAACTTTGACAAATTATTTATTTAGCGCTAGGGATATTTTACATTAGCACTGTAAATTATCTCTAATAGAGATTCAAGCAGAATTTTATATCGAGGATATTCCAGCAATAATAAAATGTCATTTAAAGAATATTCTGAATCAACAGAGCAGTGTTGATTGGTCAAGCTAAGGGAGAAATAAAAAAGGCAAACATAGGGCAATAATAAATGCTTGCTTCTCATATGTTTATAATAACAGAAAGATATTCATATCAAAAACATTTAAACCAATGAGGAAATCCGAAAAATTGCACACTAGAGAATTGCCATAGCATACTCTCCGACTTTCTCAGATTTTGGATAAAAAATTAAAATTTACTGACTTTCTTTATTGATCGGAGTAGCATATCAACAGTACATAAAATGAAAATCGCAATTTCAGATAAAATTATCTCCTTGGAAAAACTTCGCTTTTCCCGTTTAGCCATCCTAAGACATTATCATTTGCAGACATCAATACAAACATTTGCAATACATAAAGATAGTTTCTTACCTGCTGCTTTTGTTTGAAAAAAAAAGTTTTTCTCATCTCATTGGAAAGAGTTCATTTAACAAACTAAGCCATCCTAAAACCTTATCATTTACAAATATCATACTAAACTTACTAATCATTTGCAATAAGATAGTTCCTTGCTTGCTATTTTTGCTAAAAAAATAGTTTTTTCTTCATTATTAAAGGAGAAAGTTTATTACTATAATGAAATTTTAATACAACTTTTCCCAAATTCAAAAAGCTTGATCATTCATTTAAAAAAATATATAAGTTGAAGGTTTTATACTCTTTACAACTATTATTTCTTATTTTACAACCCAAAAACTGGCCCTGCTTTTCCACAGAAAAGGTTTCTTAAGATTGGAAAGAAAATGAAAAAACTACAAAACCATTTTACATTTAAAATAGGCAGTTATTTGTAATAAATTATTACATAATCTACCAATTATTACCATTCGAATATTTTAACCATTAATAATTATTACCATTCTAATATTTTAACCATTAATAATTATTACCATTCCAATATTTTACGGCTTAATTAAATTTGACTTGATAAGAAACATATGTATAGTAGATAGTAACAGTTTTTGAAGATGTCTTGAACACCATTTTTTATACTATTTTAATAAACTTAGAGTGGACGTTTTGCACACGCATAGACACGCTGAATAATTTTTTTTAAAAAAATAACTTTAACTATTTGTTGCCACAACAAATGCTTCAGCTTAAATTAACCTTATATTAAAAATCATTTTATAGTAAATTTAATTAAAGACTTGGGTTAATAAAGGAGACTTGAGAAAATAATGTTTACTAAATATGCTACTAAATGTGATTCACCTTTGAATTGATAAGAGTTACACAATACCCACTTTTAAAAAAAAAATCCTAGCATTACAATGTGTTTATACTTTTCAGTAAATACAACAGTTTGGAAAGTAGAAACCAAAAAGCAAATAATATAATTGATATTTCTCCAGCAAAAAACTAAATTTCACAAAACTGATTTAGAAATTAAAATTTAATCTAAATTATGAATAATAAGTAAAAGGAGAAAGAAAGATCAATTAAGAAAAGCTCTGGTAGACAAATTGAAACTTGGAAAATTACCAGAAAAAGTAAAACTTTTCTGGTAGTTAAAAAGAAGTGACATTCTTTTTTATACTTGAGGCCTATAAATCAGAATATTAGGTATTCCTGAGATCCATAAATAGAAATTAATTCAATACTCTTAAAGGTGTTAAATACTTGTGTGAATGTCTTCAAACAACGTCTTGCAAAACATCTTCATGATTCTAAAATACTATATTTGAAGAACTTATTGAATAACAAAAACATTTTTAAAAACTGGTGTTTAAGTTTATAAATTTTAAAAGGAAAGAATAATGAAATTTGGCAAATAATTAGTGTTAATAATTAGTGCAAAATAGTGTTTAATGTTTTAACACTAAACATACCATAACCAGTCAAAAGACCGATTATTGTAAGTTGTATTATACTGTAAAGTGTTGGTATATTTAGTGATAATAGAAGATGCTTAGAATATTTAAAAAGCTGTTTTTTTTTTGTTTTTTTTTTAAACTATAGTTTTGGACGAAAGAAAAAACAGCAATAAAACATTAAAAAAATAAGACTTGTTATATTTATTTTTGTTAAAATAAATTTCTAATCAGAATAATTAAAAAAAATGTGGCTTGTAATTGTTACACTAACAGCCTTTTAATTCCTACAACTTTTATGGATGCAGTCAAAAAGCCTATTAACACACAAATTAAGTTCGGCAATCCAAAGAAAAAAGGATCTCAAAACAAAGTGAGTATTCATTTAAATAAATGGAAAATGAATATACAAATGATTGGTTATTCCATTTAACAAAGTACTTCAATAACTGAAACAACTATTAATTTTATAAACATACATTTAAAGGCTGCAAATTTTTTTCTCTTCTTAACTTCTGAGCACTTTTGACTGTACCAAGGAGAATATCATTGCTTAAAGTTCTTTCATGAGCTTCATCTAGTATAACAAAACTATAACTATAAAAGAAAAAATAAGTTATATTTCCAACAAAGAAAAAAATTTACAGTTTCAAAATCCAATTTACTATTCCAAAAATAATTCAACTAACTATATTGTTATTTTAAAATCAGTAAATTACATTAACAAAGAAGGAACTTACTAGTCCAAGATGAAACATAATGAATTTACACACAATCAAATTAATTCTTGATTTGTTGAAACAGGCATAAACAAATAATATTACAAAAAATAATGAGATGTTGCAAGATCGGTAAAGATCTATTGTGTTTTAACGTTTACAGTGAAGACTGCTTTTATTAATTTAATTATTTACTATCATTCAAAAAAATTAAATTAAAAACATGACCATCAATTCAATTCTTAACATTTAAAAAAAAAGTTAATTCTCATATACAAGATCAAAAAAGAAAAAAAGCTTCAAAATTTTATCAGAAAACAATTTTTTATTAGGAAACATCACATTACATATTACATTAATAGGCCATTATAAAATATGAACTTTTGTGGGTCTAGATATTTAAACCATGCATTATTTAGTTTAAATACATTTAATTTAATTTTTTTTTTTTTTTTTTATAAAACGAAAAAAAAATATAATCACAACAGCATACAGTGATCAAAGATTCTCTTAAATGATTTCAAAGTAAAATAAATGGAAATTTATGTTTATTACACATATTTTGAAATATTCACATTTATGAGAATATTTTAACAGAACTACTGACATTTAGAATGTTAAAATGCAAAATGTAATGCAAGAAGAAAAAATTATAATTGAAAATTAGATAGAATAGGGAAGAAAATTTTCATAATTATTTCATAGCTAAGTAACAATCAGAGAAAGTGTGTATAAAACATGTTATTTATTGTATATCTATCAATAATTTCAAAAAATAAATATATGTTTAACCTTAAATCATTATTCAAATGTTCCTTCATTTACAGCATTAGAAACATTGGTGACGGAAAATATGAAATTTCACTAACAAATGATTATTCAAGTTATAAAATACAATTCACTGAAACAGGTTAGAAACAAATTAGCTTTGAAAAAATACTTAGAAAAATATATGTAACTTTATTATTTCTTAAAGAAAATAAATAGTCTTATAGAAAATTATTTGATGTTTAAGTAAATAAATAACCATAACATAGTATAAATAAATAATCATAGGCTGCAATAATGAGAAGTTAAGTCAGATAAGACTCAGAAGATTTTGTTCTATTAATTGATTGACTCTTACTAAGCACAATAAATTTTTGGTCATCTGATAAAATTCATAAAATTGTGAAATATGTTGTGAATGGTAAAAATAGGAATCACTCTATCACATTAATGTAATTTTCCAATAATTTTTTTTTCTAACGGCAGGCACTGAACTTTTACGTCCTTCGCCTAGGAAGATGCCAGAAGTATTATTCATTTAACGTTACCCAGTGGGCACCTGTGAACCTAAGTCACGGAGGCGAGCAACATTACCCACGCCACACTGCCACAGATACCCGTTTTATAGAGTGGGTAAAATTCACACAGTAGAGAACAACACATAGAGAGAAACATCCATGCCCTGAGCGGGATTCGAACCGGCAGCCATTGGCTTCACAGTCAGGCAATTTTCCAAATTAAACGCCCTGTTCCAAATTAAACGCATTAGAATTGGCACAAATTGGCAGAAGAGGGATACACTGGAAGTTGGCTTTTGTTAGTTTGGTTTCAGAAATTTTTTTATTATACTAATTAAAACCATTTGCAAGATACATTGCAATCACTATAAAATATTAAAAAACATATTAAATAATTAATTTATCAAATTTAACTCTTTATATACAGCATTTTATCTACATCATAAATAAATCAAAGTGAAAATTGTATTTTAAAGAATTTTCCATCAGTAGATATTAAAAAAATATATATAATAAAACGGAAATTATGTTAATTTAAAAACTGCATTATAACATGAATGTAACAGAAAAAAATCTTATTACAACATTCTTCACATGGAAATGGAAAATTCTTTTAAAATGACAAATTCTGTTTATTAAAAATCAAAAAAGAAAATTACAATGATGATGAATCGATAAAAATGAAAAGATAAAAATGAAATTGATTATAAGGTTTTTGAAATTCAGAAACTGAAATTAGTTGATGCATATGAAATGTAATGAACCATTTTTAATACTTACTCAAGTAATAAAGGGTGAGTAATAGATTCCCTCAGCAGCATACCATCTGTGAGATACTAAAAATAAAGGTAAATAATATTAAATTATTGATACATAAATTAAAAGCAAATAATAGAATACAGAAAATTAATTTAAAAGAAGTGTTAGAAGAAAATAGTTACATATTCCTAGCATTGATACATAGGTTTTTATTAATACTAACTTTCAATGGCAACAAGACAGGTAAAATTTTAGTCTATAAACAAAATGTCTGCACAAGTGTTGTAAATATTTTTAAAATAAATATTTTGACACTTGCATATATATATATAAGTTTAAAATACGACGAAGACATGGAAAGAAAAATACAAATTTTTTAAAGAGAAGAAAAATTATTAATGAATAAAAAATTTTTTAAAATAAATTTAAGTCAAAAAACTAAATAAGGAAAAGATATAATCTCGTCATCAGCTGACCAGATTATATCCACAAAAAGCGTGCTTTCTAATATTGTATTAATAAAGTCAAAGCAAACAAAATATATTAATACAATTGTAATGAAAAGAGAAATCAAAAATTCACGTAAGAAACAGTCAAAAACTACAATAACAAAGGAAAGCTGCACAATACAGCAGAAATTCCACAAGAAAATTGAAACCAAAAGAAAATTTTAAAAAAGAAAACATTGAAAATTATTATGATAACAATTGAAGCTGACATTATCAGGGGCTACAAGCCTAGAAGTCATAAAAACACAAAATCTTTTCTAGCGAGAGAACACGAAAAACTTCTAAATCTTGCTCTCTTTGTATCCCAAAGGTTTCGCAAGAATTCTAGGAAGAGAGAAAAAGAGAATACAAAAACGAAATACAAAAGTAAAATACATAAATTACAAAAAAAAAAAACAAATTTCAAAAAACCTACTTAAAAATATTCCTTTGCCAAAACAAAAGCACACTACATTCTGAAAATCCTAAATCAAACTGAATTTAACAAACAAACTATGCCTCCACTTAATGCACAGAAAGAAGGGGGGGGAAGAAAACTGTTACCCTCTTAAAGTAGAAAAGCTTAACTGGGGCAACTCAGTTGAGTCTCGATCTAGTCCTATTAAAAGGAAACAAAAACTAATAATTTTTAATCTTTTCTTTAATTTTACCTTTAATATAGTAAAAATTAACAGGAAAACCATACTTTCCAGATTATTTAAAAAATTACTAATGGCATCTTGAAAGTATTCAATATTATTGCAAATTTTATTAATTCTGGACAGTTCAGAAAAAACCAAATTTTTTAAAATATTACTTGCATTTTTATGACTTCCGGGGCTGCTGCCCCCTAACGACGCCAGCTTTTTTAAAATTTTTGATTGGTTTCAATAACATAGTGTGAGAAATTTTTTTTTGCTACTTTTCTTTTTTTTCCCTTTATTTTGTTTTTAAACACACACACACATATATATATATATGTATAACGTTGTTGCCGAGTGGAAGGATTAAAACAGGTCTTAGGCAGGGAAGGAGGGTGCAAATTTATTATTAACTAGCCGCCTAAGGCGGCCAGCTGTCCGCCACGCTGAAGGTTTTCACAAATAAAGTTTTTTAAAACATAGCAGGAAATCTGAAGATTAGTGGACAATTAAAGTGTTCCTGTCCAGCAATTTTGTCTTCATATCCAGTTCTGCTGCAGATGTGTTATAGCTCTTGAGGATGTTTGAAATTACATAGCTACAACGCTTAAGAAAAAAAAACTAAAATGCTAAATACATGAAAAGAACACGAAAACGNGAAAGTTGTGCAATGCAGCAGAAATTCCACAAGAAAATTGAAACCAATAGTTATGTGATCCTGATAAGCTGTTTCGGGATTGTCCGGAGTCTTGTCCACTCCCCCTCCTATGCAGGAGTGGGGAAGTGAATTGTTAGCAATACCAGCCTACCTTTGAATAAACCTGTTTAGAACGTCTGATGGCTTATGACTGCAATTATTTCAAGCTAAATACAACACTAATAACAGGGTTGGAGCCCTGTTATTACATATATACACACATATAGCAATCATTTTTATTAAGTAATCATCGTATGGAGAGAATAAAGCCGAATAAACCAAAATCGAAGCTCTTAGCTCTCAAAAGCTAGGGTAAATCTTGCAAAATTGCAATCGTAAGAGCACAATTAGTAATTACAATTAGTACTTAAATATGTGCAGGGAATAATATGGATTTCACACTTATGTTAAAAAAAACTTAATAAATTTAAAGTAGGACAAATATATAAATAAGTTAAAAATATGATGAAGACATAGAAAGAAATATAAAAAATTTTCAAAGAGAAGCAAAATTATTAATGAATAATAAATTTGAAAAAAATTTTAAAGCCAAAAAGCAAATAAGGAAACAATATAATCTTGTCATTAGCTCACATGATTATATCAGCAAAAAGCGTGCTTTCCAATATTGTATTAATAAAGCCAAAGCAAACAAAATATATTAATACAATTGTAATTAAAAGAGAAATCAAAAATCACGTAAGAAACAGTCAAAAACTACAATAACAAAGGAAAGCTGCACAATGCAGCAGAAATTCCACAAGAAAATTGAAACCAATAGAAAATTTTAAAAAAGAAAACTTTGAAAATAATGAAAATTATAATGACAACCGAAGCTGGCGTCGTCAAGGGTCACCAGCCCCGGAAGTCATAAAAACACAAAACCTTTTTTATCGAGAGAGCACGAAAAACGTCTAAATCTTGCTCTCTCTATACCCCAAAGGTTTTGCAAGAAGTCTAGGAAGAGAGAAAGAAATTACAAAAGTTAAATACATAAACTAATTACAAAAGAAAAAACAAATTTCAAAAATCTACTTAAAAATATTCCTTTGCCAAAACAAAAGCACACTACATTCTGAAATTCCTTAACCAAACTGAGTTACACAAACAAACTACACCCCCACTTAATGCACAGAAAGAAGAAAATAAAAGGAAAGTAAGAAAGTTATTGTCATCTTAAAGTAGAAAAGCTTAACTTGGGCAATTCAGTTAGGTCTCGATCTAGTCCTATTAAAAGAAAACAAAAACTAATAATTTTTAATTGTTTCTTTAATTTCACCTTCAATATTGTAAAAATTAAAAGGAGAACCATTATTTTCAAGATTATTTAAAAAAAATTACTAATGGAAAAATTTAAAAATTACTAACGACGTCAGCTTTGATAGTCATTATTATATTTTTCCTTATTTTCTTTTTTAAAATTTTCTATTGTTTTCAATAAAATAGTGTGAGAAATTTTCTTTGCTAGTTTTTTTTTGCCTTTATTTTGTTTTTACACATACTGTATTTATATATATANAAAAATACTTCTTCATTATGTCAAAACACAATTATGGGCCGAGTTTCGTGCCCGGGCGAGGCTTCTGGGGCGATATATTGTGATTACAGACACACACAGCCGCGTTTATTATTATGTATAGATAATTATTAGACAGGAAACAGCTATAAAAGTGGTCATGAAAAGTTGTGCTCCTCGATATAAGTTAGGGAAAATCTTGCAAAGTAAATCGGTAAAATGTTTCATTTTAGGGAATAGGGGAAATCTTAGTAATTGTAATTGGTTTATTAAATAGGTCGCGCAATTCCCACAAAGAGCAAAAAGTCTTTCATTTAATTAATGTATACTTGAGCCAAAAATAGATTTAAGGACAGGATGTGAATTTAAAAGCGTGAGAAAGCATTTCATTTTGAATAATAAATTAAGAAAAGAATACTCAGAAAAGGAATAACATAAAAAGATTGTTTGAAGTTTTTTATGTTACATCCCCCTCCCCGAAAATTTTTAATTACAATCAAAAAATTTTAAAAATTATTGATTTGCAAAATCTTCCCTATGATAGTAGTAGAAACAAAATGAAAATAATAAAATTTGTACCATACTTAATTTATGTACCATACTTGTTTCATGTTTAACATAATTTTTTGAGCAAACATTTATAATTAAATTACTTATTTACGAAGAATATCACAACTCAATAGTAACGGATTCAAGAAAAAACTTACTTCTTACAAGAATTATGATATTGAATTTTATAATCGCAAGGATATGAGTTGCGACAGTGGACTTTAAAATAGCGATGTTGGATTTTAAAAAGCTCAAAAATAAAAATTGTGACATTGAATTTTTAAATCATGTGAATACAAATTGAAAATGCGTAGCTTGATATTAAAAACGTGCGAATAAGAATAGCAATATTAGCAGATTCCCGTCTTGCTCAAAATCCACCAAATCAAAAGAATCAAATTGAAGGAAGAATCACATATAGGAAAAGATCTCATTAATAGATTTCATCAAAATTTTCATAATTTAATCGGATCGTAAGTTTTTGATTCGCAAAAGTTCGTGAACCAATGGTCTTGAGGTAAGCGGAATTTTCCGATATTCATGAATAAATTACATGCCCTGCTTCTAGTTTTTAGACCTCGAAAAGAAAAATCCGGAATACAATCATCCCTAATTATATGAAATAGGCTCAATCTCAATTATTTTGAGTAATCAAAGTTTGGTGTGTACCTTTAAAATATAGTGGTCATTAAATATACTGTCATAAGAATTAATGTTAACATCAAATGATAATATTAGAAATACATCATGAAAAATATATAAGTTAGAATACAAAATGTTATTTACTTTAATCTTAGTAGCTGCAGAAGTCACATTTTCAAATCGCACTGAATATCCAACCTAGAATAACAGATTAAAAGCATTTTTTACAAGCTTCAAACACACACACACACACACACANGTGGTCCTCACACTATTGTATTAATATATTTTGCTTTGGCTACATTGATACAATATCAGAAAGCACTCCTTTTTGCGGATATAATCGTGTGGGCTGATGAAAAGATTATATGTTTTATTTTCTGGATTTTTAAAAAAAAAATTATCCCTTTTTTTCTTCCCTAGTTGTTTATTATTATTTTTCGCCCCCCCCCCCTTTTCATATGTCTGTAATTTTCCTTTGTTTTATCTTCATTTTGAACCTATATATAAATATATATAAATGTTAAGACGCTCTTCTAAAAACACTTAGGGAGAACAATGCATTTGTGTTTTATTTTATAAAAATTTTCAATATTTGGACCCCAGTATAACAGTAGAAGTCAAGGAATTATCCAATTTCATATAATTTTCTAAAGATATAAAACTTGATACACATAAAAATGGAAAACTTTGCATTAAATAGGGTTAAGCATACAACATTTGAAACTCCTTAAAACAATAAGAAATGCGGTCATAAAAATTGGAATGCAAGCAAGATATAACAGCTTTTTTAGGGCAGTAATAAAATATTCTTCAATAAAAAATAAAATATTCTTACTGTCGCACCAACTTCTGTCTTAGCTTCAAAGGCAACTCGTTTTGCGATTTGCACAGCTGCAACTCTCCGAGGCTAGGGAAAAAAAGAAGGGGGTTTACATTTGGTAAGGCTTGAGTAATAAATAGCATAAATAGTATATCTGAAATTATGGATGTACATAAATTCTATTAAATAAAATAATAATTTCAATAAATATCTAAAGAAATATATAAAAATGGTAATTTCAGTTATAGGAACTCAAACTGAAATTTGGTACCTGAGTAACTGCTATGCACTTGTTTCGATGAAGACCAGTTTCATACAGATACTGAAAATAAATATGTCAAATTTTAAAAGAACAGAATCACATTGCAAAAAAAGCTGGTCACAAATTGAGTAAAAAAAAAAATCTAATTTATTAAAAAGAATATTTTATAAATTTAAGTAGTAAATAGGTTTTAAAAGAAGTTAAAATAAAATAGCAAATAACTCATAGATTTTGTAATTTTGTTTATTTACCTTTTTATAGATATTTCTAAATTAAATAAATAAATAAAATAAAACATAATTTTATGAATTTTTCTTTACTTCAAAATGAAAATATTTTGCAACTAAAATTTGCCAAATTTAACATTTCCAAATCTGAAAAGGGAAAAACATTGGAATTTGGTTTTTTACACTTAGTCAGGCAAAACAAAAAAGAGAATTTCTATACTGGCACCTATGCCAAAATAAATCTATACCAAAGTTTTGGCAACCTTAAAGCAGTGGCCTACAAGAAAACAATATAAAAAATCCCAAAAGGAAATTAACTGAATGTTCATTCAACTTGTAGTCAATAGAGATGAGTTTGGACAGTAGAGATGAGAAGTCCAAGCTCAAAATTTTTTATTTGAGCCTGAAACAAATAGGATCATTAAGAGCCTAAGATATTTGTTAAGTAAAAGCCAAATTTTATGGTCTTGCCACTCAAAAAGAAAAATCAAACTTTCAAGCTAAATATGAGTAATTTGACAATTAGTTTAAGCCTTACAAAGAAAAAGCATTGGATAGAAGTAGGATATCAATGCAATTTTTTTTATTGTTTTTTTTTATAAGTAATAAAACTAAATATTTATTCAAAAGTACAAAAAATGCAAGGAAATTTTATAATGAGTCCGAGTCCATGCGAACCCAAGACCTTCTTACAGTAAATGAGTCTGATTCTGAGCCATCTCATCTTTTGTTGCCACCCACCGAGATAAACCTTTTTTCCCCCTAATCTTTTGTGAGTTAAAAATATCTCTTTGACATTAGTAGTTATTGGAAACAGGTACCGATACGTGAATATCCTCAGAACAAATATGTTATTCCATTAATAATTTTTTTTAGCAGCATAATATTTTTCTTTTATTAGTTTATAGTTTTTGTTGTAGGAAAATAATTTAATTAGTATATGCGTAACAAATATATATATTTAATCTAAATTAACTTCTGTAAACATTCATAAAATCAACTTGTTCAGTGTACACTAAAACTGTGTGGAGTGATACATCGATGCATTAGGAAATATTGATGTTATGCAATCATTGCTGATCTGTTGCTTGGTTAGGCGTTTCCTTTTTTCTTCAAATCTCATTAAATAATGGTGTACTAACAATGCATCGATGTTGACATCCTCACGTGCGAAAACTCATAAGACATCGATGACCGCAAGCTCACACAAAGAGCATTTAACTGACTGTAACTCTACAGCGATTACTGAGGTGATTTTTATTATCTTTGCTCACATTTTTTCTATTGTGATTGATTGAACATAGAAATACAGGGGATATTTCCTTATCATAATCTGTGTGACAACTACAATTGCCAAATAGATTTCAAACTTGCAATTTTTTTTTTCTTAAATGAAGATGTTTGCCTTGGGAGCGGCTGCGAGTTATACCTTTCGAGTTTGTTCCTCTCTGTGATGTTTTTTCATTTTTTAGTTTCTCGCTGGTCATAGCACGGAAGTTGGCAAGGCTTCAATTATTCTCCCACAGATCAGGATACGGGAATCTCCCCGAAATGCGTCTCACTGACATGATGAATTCATATGTGACTGTAATTGAGAATCAAAGTGTCATAAAAACATTCTTTCTTTTTTTAACTGCATAATTCCTCTGATGCTGACTTCATAATAAGTGATGTCAATATTTTTATTTCTACTACAATCTTAACATCGACCAGTCCTAGTGTTAATATTTTCAGTCAATAAAAGGGGGTTTAATGCAAATATATTAATTCATAGTCAACTTAGAGTCTACACAAATATTTGAGACATCTCAGACTTTGCAGCCATTTTTTGGCTCGCAGCTCTCTTCAGCATATACAAATATTTTGAAATTAATTAAAGTTATGCATAAGTACTTCCCAAAATGGATTAGCATAATTGTAAAAAGAATACCTGAGGAATTTGAGTAGTTTTTCCACTTCCAGTTTCCCCAACAAAGATAATAGTTCTAGATTTTTTTACGGATTCTAAAATGTCAGCTTTACAACAGAAAATTGGAAGTTTTTCTCGGTCGTTCATGATAGAAAAAAGTGCAAATAGTTGAGAAAAATATAATCATAAATTATAAAAAAAACAAAATACTTTCAGCGCATGCCGATTCGTCGTGGATATTTATTTTGATTTGAGGCCATGTAAACGTAAAAAAGCGACAAGTTCCTCTGTAAAAAATTAACAGTTTCGGTTGCTTATTTTTGCTAAGCAAAGAACTAAACTTTTTAACTCTGAAAATATTAAATAATGTTATCGCTTCCTGAAAAGGTTCCGCAGTTAACTTATCGTTAAGACACGGTTCTCAGTAGATCACCGAAGTCAAGCATCACAGGCTGCGGTCAGTGTGCGGGTGGGTGACCACTTGGATCAGTCTGCGTAGGGACCGAGGGTGTGCGGTTTTGGTCCTCGTTAAACTGCTCTACCGTAAAGTGCTCGACTTCGCGTGCACGTCGTCGGGCTACTGAAGCGGGGGTGCCATTCCCTCTGCAGAGGATCGAAATTGTAATGGCGCGTCTTGGATCATCCTCAATGGATCATCCTCAAAAATGTTCCCCAGACCCATTGTGCAGCTCTAGTAAGATTTAAAGAAAGTACCTACTATTTTTCCAAAACATATTGTCGTATTTATTTTTTTTATCATGTGGTAAAAAAAAAATATTAATAACTAAAAGGTAAACACGGGTAATTGAAATTTTCAATTTTCTAGTTTTTCCAGTATTCCGAAATGATTAAGTTATAATAAAAGTATAAAATAATAATTTAAATTATTATTTAATTACTAAATAACTGGAAAATTACAAAAGCTTTCGAATTTAAGCTCATTAAATTTAAATTTTTAAAAAAATAAAGGATTTTTTCATTATTTTTTTTTTTAAAAATCTTAACAAATATAAATATTTTGAAAAAGAATAGAAAAAGATGCCAATTCCTGATATTAAACCGAAATCGCAAAGTATTGGCAAGTTAAATAAATAAATACCAGTTTCCAATTTCTGGAAAAATGGTAAAAATGCAAAATTTAACTTTAAAGCATTTTTTTATTTTTGGATTATAATAAAAAATTTATATTTCAACCCCAAAAAATTGTGAATGAGTAACATTTTCTAACTCAATAAAAAACACATTTTAAATTTATTAAGGTGGCGCAAAGCAAAATGAATTTGACGTCAGCTCATTTGTAAAATAGGGCAATGAATTAGGTAAGAATTATTTAAATGAAATAAGATCTAAGCTTGGAGGATTATATTTAGATTGATCCTCTCTTCGGGAGTCAATTTTTATTTTTTTCGCAGACAAGGAAAGATAAACAAAGTATGGTGACTGCCGGCATTTTTATTAAGGCTAGAATCGATTTCAAAATAGGGAAATATTTTTCTTCCCTCTGGGGGAAACAACGAATTTCACATTTAAAATAGATTAAGAAAAATATCAGTTTCGAGAATACCGGGCAATGGCTGGTAATCTTAAAACAACAATCTAAATAATCGATACTAATTACCATTTACCCTAAAGAAAGCAACAGTGTCGAGAATACCGGGCGAAGTTTAAATAAACAATTGCCGTCTTCATAAAATTAAAAAGGAAAAAAAAAACAGTTTAAAGAGTATAGGGAATACCACAAAATGAGTCGCTATCTTGAAAAAAGAACAACGTATAAAATAATATCAGGTGATGGCCGCAATCGAATAAAAAATAAACAATTAAAAAATTAACAAAATTTTATCTTTATCGCTGGATAATGAAGGAATGTTTAAAAAAACTTTAGAAGACGTGGCAAGTTTAAATGGCCTAATAAAATAATTTTTGAATGCATTTTAATATTTTAATAAAGAAATGTTTAATTTTCTCTTTCCTGATTCTGAAATGGAAAATTAGTTTGTTAATTATAATTCATTAGCGTAGATTTATTGTTACGTTGGAAGTCAAAATGAATAGGACCGAAAATAAATTTAGCGTCCTGTGCCTGTCAGAAGAAAAATGCAAACGTGAATTATCCACCTTTACCAATCCACAGAAAGAAGAAAAAAAACACTTACCTCTGGGAGAAAGGCTAATAAAAAAAACGGTACTGGCCCTGAAGGCTGTGTACTATAGCTTCAAATATCAAACTTTCAGAAATTTCACGAATATAATAAGATCATATCGTAGCAAAAACCATTTTGTGATTTTTATCACCCTTTAAGGGGAGAAAAAGTTCTTTTTAAAGTCAACAATCGCCCCATATTCTTTGGATTTTGCGTTTATTTAATTAATTTTTTTTGACTTTCTGTGACTGTCTGACACATAAAAAAAAAGATATAATCCGTTCATCAGCTCACACGATTATATCCGCAAATATCACTACTTTTTGCGGATATAATCGTGTGAGCTGATGAAGAGATTATATCTCTATGTTTCTCTCTATGTTTATATATATATATATATATAAACATAGATTACCATTGTAGCATTTTTCTTAAACTTAATTTTTATATCCTTCTTTAATTTAAATTCTTATTTCTACTACTACTTGGTTAATTACTTAAATTTGTTAAACATTTTCCTCCAAGGAGGTTATGTAGCAATAGTGTAACTAGTTATTTATTATAGTTATTGGTTAATATTATTGTCATTGATTATTATTATTCTATAAATATTAATTATTAAGAATTTGAAAGTTAATATACTTTAGTTGCTTGCGTTAAGGGTACACATTTCTACATAAAGTAGTAGGTTCCATCCCCTGCTCGCTCAGCTCATCATTCCTCATAATTTCATCTCCTTTATCAATGTTTTTTCCTTTTTAGACTCCAATATTTTCCATTAAAATATAGAACATTTTGCTAACAAACTATACCATTATCGTAATTTTGTGTAAGAACATTTTGTCAACTTGTAAGCTATAACAAAATGATCGATTATTCTGATTTAAAAAAAATCATCAGTACTTGAGAAAAAAGTAAACCTAAAGAATAAATATTGCTTGATCCGATCAAGAGAAATAAACGAAATATAGATTTATCATTTACGAGACTTATAATTGTTCTAAAAGAAGACGGTCTTTATCTTTCCTGTATTAAGTTTTTCTATTTTCAAAAAAAAAAAAAAAAAATTTAAATGTTGAGATTTAAACTGGCAGCCTCTATTCTCTCACTTCTTCCCTCTTTTTTTTTTGTTTTGTTAGTACAAGCTTAGAAAATAAACTTCTACAGAGAGAAAATAAATTTTTCTACCGCAATGGAAAAATAGTCAACATTTAAAGCGGAAACAAACTGAGAAAAAAATTCATAACAAAGCACTTAAATCAATCAAATTAGAGTTAAAAAAAAACTCATGTTTACTTCATAAATATGAATGAATCTCTCAGCACGTTAAACTTCAACTCTCTTGTTGTATTTCAGCCGGCAGCAGATCTGCCCGCGTGGTATTTTTTACTGTAAGTTCAACAGTTAATAATTATCGATTAAATAATCGAAATTAATTTTTTTTTTCATTCCGTCATTTCCCTGTGTATTTTTCTATCGTAAATTCAAGTATTGAAGTCTTATAGTGTTTGTGCGGCAAAACAAAACGTAGCGCGACGGTAGCCCGACGACCTGCACGCGAAGTCGAGCACTTTACGGTAGAACAGTTTAACGAGGACCAATACCACACACCCTTGGTCCCTACGCAGGCTGATCCAAGTGGTCACCCACCCGCACACTGACCGTAGCCAGTGATGCTTGACTTCGGTGATCTGCTGGGAACCGTGTCTTAACGATCTGTCCACTGCGGGACTAAAATTTGGTGATAGAGCACTGGAGTCGGTCGATTACGAACCATTGCGCCACTGTTTAGGTTCGTTCGCGCAGTTTTCAATGAGTCATATCATTCTTACCTTGGACTGAAATGAAATTAGTTACAACGTTGCACTTAGTCTTTCACATTTGTTGTCAGTAATTTAAAATGCATTTTGAAACGCATACGGAACGATAATAATTTTTTAAAATATAATGGCACAAAAATGAAAAGGGAACTTGGGTAAATTTATCGAGAGCCACAAATAATCCTTCAAAGAGCCGCAAGTTGTCCCCCCCCTGTAACATAATATGATAAATGATATATGAATAAGTTGCATTTTTATTATATTATCATAATAATAAATGCAACTCATNATATGGGTCCCTTATGCCACAAATAATCCTTCAAAGAGCCGCAAGTTGTCCCCCCGCCCCCTGTAACATAATATGATAAATGATATATGAATAAGTTGCATTTTTATTATATTATCATAATAATAAATGCAACTCATTTATTTTTTTAGTTAAGTTTATAGACTTAAATATTGGATAATAATCAAAAACAAAATAAAAACAGAATAATATTAAAAAAGAATTTTTAAATAAATATTACTGGTAAATATCAATAAATGGAGGTAAATAAATAATTTACAGGTAAATTCCCTTATAGTTTTTATTAATTTTCTTAAGATAACAGCTAGGGATATATGAATCTCCCTAGCTGTCTGAAAACAACAAAACAATCATGTGATTTTCACGCAGATGATCATAGAACGGTAAGACGACAGTTATCTTGATATGATATAAGGAGAAATATATAAAGAACATCATACATCGAAGTATACACCGATATTTAAGAAGTCATTTTTGTCAGTGCACCCAGATTTTATTACGTGTACTAAAAAATGATGTGTAAGTTTAGCTGCTAAATAATAACTTCGATTACTGCTGAACGATTCAAAATGCTCTGTAAAAGTAGACATTTGGATTTCACGCATACACACATCAGATGAAACCTTTTATTACTACTTTTTAGAATCGCTGTTGTTTTTAGCTGTTTTGGAGCTTTATGCGAGCGTTATTAAGTT